CTCCACCCTCCACCTCTGCCTCCTCTTCCGCCGCGGCCTCCCCAACCGCACCGGCCGCCGCCTCCTCCCCCGCCACCTCCTCCAATGCCACAGCGGCGCCGCGCGCCGCAAGCCACGCCTCGAGCGGTGCCACCGCGGCGTCGATCGCAGCTGCCACGGCGGCGGACGAGTCGGCGTCTCCAGGCCGTCCGGCGCGGCCCACCGGCAGCGGCGGCGCCGGCCCCTCCGCCGCGTCGCCCCCCCTCGGCGCGGCGATCGGCTTGCGCCCGCGGTTCTTTTTGCGGCGGCTCTCTGCGGTTGTCGGGTTGACAGCGAGCCGCGTCACCACATCTCCCTCCGCCTCAGGGTGGAAGCGAGGGTCGAGGTCGCCGTACACCTGGCCGTCGTCAAAGCGAGCCTTGAAGTCGAGCCAGCCACCCGGCCGGAGCAGCGGCCTCCGGTCCTCCGGCAGCGCTTCGATCCGCATCCGCAGCGGCGGCGGCAATACCGCCGGCTCGGCCCGCTCCGCGCTCTCCACCGCGGCCACCGCCGCGGGCGAGAGGTGTGTGGCGGCGAGAGAGAGGACGCTCTGCCCCTTGTTGTTGAGAAGGCGGGTGCGCGCGCCGCGCCGCAGCAGCAGCGACACCACGTCGCTCCGGCAGCGCGTCACCGCGTAAAAGATTGGCGTCTTGCCGTAGCTGTGGTCGCCGGTCGACCACGCGTCGAGGTCGCAGCCGAGGTCGAGCAGCCGCTCGACGTTGGAGAGCGCGCCGCGCCAGCAGGCGTGGTGCAGCGGAGAGCGGCCGCTCTCGTCGAGCGCCTCGTCCACCTCCCGGGCCGCCGAGTCGCCGAGCCGCGCGAGCATGGCCTCGAGCGCGCCTCCGTCGGCGGCGCCGGCGGCCCGCCGCAGCGCTGCGGCGGCCGGCGGAGGGTGCGCGACGGCGATGGAGGCGCCGCCGGCGATGAGCATGGCCGAGGCCGATCGATGTGTTGCAGTTAAAACGCTCGTAGTCGGATTCGGGGCGGGCTGACCGGTCTGCCGATGGGTATGCACTGGCCGCGCGTCCTTCCACCCGGAGACGCGCCTACCGGGTACTGTCCAATATGAAAGTGTGAACAAGTGGGAGCAGCAGCTTCTGACCACGGCGCCGCAGGCGCCTGTTGATAGGTCCAGGTGGTAGCCCTGGATAGGCAATGCATACGCCTAGTTGGACCTCAGATCGCCCGACCGCGTCCCGGTGCTCTGCCGTCGGATTTATTTAGAGTGACGCCGCCGCACCGCGCCGCCCGCGGCCGGGGGCCCTCCGGAGGCCGAGGATGGCCGTGACGGACCGGGACGAGCTCTGGGAGGTTCAGTGTCAGTGTATACATTGTAGAGACTGACCATGTGCACAATATCTCTCAGTCTAGCTAAGCCTGGGGAGGCGATTCCGGGGCCGTACAGCAGCTTGATGGTGCTTCGCCGGCGTGCGTCCCGGAGCGGTCCCGGTTGGGCAATCCGGGGGAGAAAACTCAGGACAACGCCGACGCCGCTCTGATTCGACTTTTTACTTCAAACAAAGACGGCGGCACGCGCCGCAGCGCGCGGTGCGTGCCGCCGTCAGGAGCGGATCCGTCAGTTAGTTGTATTCACGCCGGGATCGTGTCCTGAGTAACTTGCCCAACCATTCCTCCAGCAGAGTAGCCGGATATGGGGTCTGTCCACACTGGCTGGCCCCTCCCAGATAGGTAGGCAGGTTGGTCTTGTTTCGCCCAAAAGGGCCCTGCAATATAGGTAGGTACCCCCTATTTTCATCTTTTTTCGCTTCGCTGCGCGGCCTGGGGATAGGTAGGTAGGTAGGGCGTTTTGGCGCGAGTCAGTGTGGACAGACCCCCTATCCGGCTAGGAGCCGGAACCCTGCGGCCTGCTGGAGAGCCGCGAGAATTTTACTGAGTATCTCGCACGAACTCCCCCAAGTGACTTTAGTACAAAAAATCAGAGAAAATTCACAAGCGCTCGCGGAGCCGAGCCACGCGTCACGCAGCAGCCCTGAGGTGCCCTGAGCACACATGCGAGCGGGGGAATATCTCGTCGTGCCTTATAAATTTCTCTCTGGCTAAATTCTAACAGTCACGAGAGAGAGTCTCAGTGGCGTCTCGGGGAGTCCCGAAGGTAGCCATAAGGCGTTTAGACAGTCGTACCGAGCAAGGGGAGATCATGAGTACACCGTGAGCCTACCCTCCCGGTGCCAGCGGGCGTAGATCTCGTGCTCCTTCTCGAACCAATGGAGCGGCTCATCGTTCTTGGCTGGGATCGCCTTGGTACAATTCGCCTTAGGCTTGCCGTAGTAGTGAAAGGGCTGGCACGGGTCGTCCGTGAGACCAAAGAGAGAGACGTTGCGGCAAATTTGCAGGGCGATGATCACGGCGATGAAGCCTGTGCTCGGCCGCATCGTCCCGGACGTGCGCTGCCACATGCACCCCTCACCCGTCGCCCGGCAGATCTCGGCGAGAGCCTTGTGGTAGATGGAGTCAGTAATGAGGAAGACGCGCGACGGCGTGACGAGCGTCTCCGCGGCGGTGGCCGTCTTGTTCAGCGCCGTCGACTTGTGTACGCGGATCAGGTACCGGAAGAAAGAGGACACCGAGAGGTGTGAGTTGGAAGTGATCAAGCCAATGGCACGCCGCTCCTCCGGCACGCTGCGCTGATGCCTCTCAAAGTGCTTCATCATCCCCTCCACGCCGAAGAAGACGTTTATGCTCGTCCGCGTCCCCACATTTTTCTCAAAGCCCTTGTTGATGATCCAGTTTGGCCGCAGGACGAGCGAGTGGCCGTCAATCTGCGCGCCGTGTTCGAATTTGCGGAGCGAGCCACTCGCCCCGACCACAGCGCAAGTGTCACACATCTCGCACCCATCGGGCCAGGCCGACGACATGAGGCTATTTCGCGGAAGCTGCTCGATAAACGGCTGAAATTTGCTCGCGGCGAACGGCTTCTCGTTCATAAACATCTTCTGGCTGCGGACGAGGTCGCGGCTCCAGAGCACCGGCACAGAGGCGGCACTGAGAGCCGCACGCATTTCCGGTTTGGCGCAGAGCCGCTGTCGCATCGACGCCTTTGGCGCAACATCGGGTGCAGAGGCGTTGCACCGCGGCAGCGGCATGTTCAGCGCGGACTGGTTGGTAGCCCCACTGCGCTGTGTATGGGGGCGGTTATGCCAGATCCGGATGTTGTCATGTGCCCGTGGTTGAAACATGTGCCCGTGCACGTTGTCGTTGAACATTGTTGTTTGCTCCGGTGGCGACACGAGGCGGCTGACGCCCGCATGAGGTGTTCGGTTTACTCGGATGGGTGGCACTCGAGGATGCAGCTTCATTGGAGCCTCATTGGCGGGCTGCGTAGACTCTCCACCAGCTGCGGCGAGGACAGCGAGGCTGGCGGGCTGCGGAGGAGGGATGGGTGGCGCCGTTGTGCGTACGAGCGTGAGAACCACCCAGCCCAACACCGCGTTGGCGACAACAGAGATCAGAAGGGCGACGACAGAGATCAGAAGGGCCGGGCCATGTGAGCACGAATGGCGCGACGACGACACCGATGCGACCGAGCTTGAGCGCTCGAGGCGTGGCCGGAGTAGAGACGGCACCGATGCGACCGAGCTTGAGCGCTCGGTAGGCTTGAGCATGCGAATCCTATGGGGAAATGATGCTGATTAGACGATGCTGCTTGGATAGAGCATTGCGGTGTGGCAGAGGGAGGGAGGGGGAGAGAGAGGTGCAGAGGCGGGGTGAGCGACGCCGACGTGGCGCAGTGGGTGCTGACGGCACGCTCAAGGTGCGTTGTTTGTGCGAGTCGAGCTGAAGGGGCTGTTGAGTCCGCGAGACCGCGAGGCGGTGGCGTGTCTGTCGCCTGTTTTTCAAAGGTGGGTGTCTGGCCGTGAGACGCTGGAGAAGGAGTGCGAGAGAGTCGCCGTTCTTTCAAAAAAAAATTGCCGGGTCGGCTGGCGAATAAACGAGCGAATCAGGGGGAACCGGAGCCCCGGGAGGGCGGGCGGGGGAACCCTGATACGGGATGCTGAGTGAGGACCTGTGTACGTGCGTGGTGTACAGTGGCGTGTCTACTAGCTCCGAGTAGAGGGGGCGTTCTGAAGTTAAGGGGAAACCCGGTACACGGAGCCAACCCTCGGAGACCTGTGTTTACTTTACGGCCCTTTCCCTGCGAACGCGCACCCCCAGGGCTAGGGCTCTCTTGCCCGCAACCCGATGCCAATCATCCGGCCCGCTGGGTGCGCTTCTGAGCTCCCCGGCCTCCCGCCGAGACCGGCTCGGCGCGGCGCGTGGCCGCACGCCGCCGTTGAAAAGGCGATAGGAGAGGGGAGAGCGCCGGCCACATCCGGATCAAGCGAGCGCTGACGTGTAAGGTGTCTGCGCTGCTCCGGTGTGTGTGGGATTCTGCCTCCCCCCATCTGGGCGGCGAGGTGTTCGCGGTGCGATGCCCGATCGTGCGCGATAGTCTCCCATTGTGCGTGGTGTGTCGGTGTGTCGGTCGTCCGGAGTGTGGCGGCGCCGTTGCATGCAGCGACAATACTGTAAGAATACTCCACGTGCCACGACTGCTTTGACTGACGTGACTCTGACTGACTGATGAGTGCTGATGGATGATCTCCGACAACCCAAAACCCCAAAATGCAAATGCGGAGTGGCCCCACTTTGGCGTGCAGATCCTGCGTCTCTCACTGCCCGAACAAAAGAGCACAGAGGCGGGTACCGCCGACGCAGGTCCCACACTAGCGCGGCCTCCGACGGTCTGCACGTGATCGAGGTACAGAAACGGTGGTGCCGCAGCTCACACCCTAATCTATCTGCCTTAGGCACGGGGAGCCAACGGAGCCATCGCGCATGCCCGCATCGCGTGCGGCTCCCTATAGGCGGCTCCGAGGTCTCCCGCCGAGACCGGCTCGGCGCGGCGCCGTTGAAAAGGCGATAGGAGAGGGGAGAGCGCCGGCCACATCAAGCGAGCGCTGACGTGTAAGGTGTCTGCGCTGCTCCGGTGTGTGTGGGATTCTGCCCCCCCCCCCCTCTGTGCGGCGAGGTGTTTGCGGTGCGATGCCCTTTCTCGTGCGCGATCGCCTCCCTTTCTGTGGTGTGTCGGTCGTCCGGAGCGTGTGTGTGGCGCTAGCGTGTGGCCGACAAACCAAAACCAAAATGCAAATGCGGAGTCCACTTGGCCCCACTTTGGCGTGCAGATCCTGCGTCTCTCACAGGTCTCTCACTGCCCGAACAACAGAGGCGGGTACCGCCGCAGGTCGCCATAGCAAATAAGAGGGCTCCCGCGGCGATCAACACCGCAACTCCTTTTCTAAATCTAGCTGAGGGGCTCGCTAAACGCTCGCCGAGCTCCATGCTGTGCAACACCACCTCCTCACTAATCGTCAGGGGCGGAGAGCGCAGTGCACTGCGGTGAGGCTGCGCAGCGGGGGCTCGCCCCCTGCACCGCGCTCAGCGGCACAGGGGAGGGCGGTCGGTGGCGGCGGCGGCGAGGCGCGAGGCGGTGGCGGCGGTGGTGCGGGCGGCGGGATGACAGGGGAGGCGGCGGGATTGACAGGGGAGGCGGCGGCCACGAGCGGAGCGGCGCAAGAAGGGGGGGGGGGCGGCGGCGAGGCGCCGGTGAGCGAGGCGCCCGCGCCATCAGAGGGACGCGCCGCTGCGAGATGGAGGGCGGCGGTGACGGAGGCGAGGCGCGAGGCGGCGGCGGCGGCGGCGGCGGCGGCGGCGGCGGCGAACGGCGGCACCGAGTCTCGGTGAGCGGCGGCGGGAGGAGGAGCAGCGGCGGCGCTCGCTCGCTGTTGACGGGAGCGCTTTTGAGCCTGGGAGCCCATGCCACTGCGACCGGCGTGCCCGGGACGGAGATCGCGCGCGCGCCGCCACTCACGACGCGCGCGCGATCTTCGCGGAGTCGGGAGTCCCCAGAGGGAAGCGGTCTTCTCGGCCGACGTCCAGCGGCGCGCAACCCAAGGAAGCGTGCGCAGCGGAGGCGGCCTAGCACCGGCTCGGCGCCGGGCGGTTGCGCTGCCCGCGAGCCGCGTCCTGAGCCTCGGCAGCGCGCTGCGCGGCGCGGCGCTCGCGCCGCTTCGGTGCCGAGAGCGGCATGATGGTTCGCCAGCCGAAGCTCGAGACTCCTCGGGTCGAGCACAATTGCGTTACATGGGCATGGCCGGGGTTTCTGCACCGAACGATCTTACTTTCGGTCTATCGAAAGTGTTGCTATAAAATTCTCTTTCCCTTCTGCGCGGCGCGTTTCCGTTCTCGCAGCTTTGCGGTCCGGCACCGCTTGCCGTCCAGCTCGCTCGGCCCGCTCGTGCCGCCATGCCCTTCGCGCCAATCTCGCTCGACGAGATGAACAAGGAGGTGCTCGCGTGGGACATCTACCAGATGCTCGCCGGTGGGCCGCTCTACGATGTCAAAAAGGTCCCGGTCCGCTTCACCTCCATAGACCAGTACCTCGACATCTTTGAGCCGCTGCTGCTCGAGGAGTGCCGCGCCCAGATCCTGCGCTCGATGGGCGAGTCGGAGCCGGCGCCGCACCACCTCAAGCTCCTCTCAATCGAGCAGAACGAGCCCTTCCGCCTGATGCGCTTCCAGCCGCCGCCGCCGCCCGAGGGAGGCAAGCCGCACTTCTTCGAGACGGACATCGTGCTCGTCTCGTACGAGCCGCTCGACATGGACGCGGCCGCCAAGCGCGGCGACGGCGAGGACGAGGACGAGCCCTCCACCGGCGGCGACTTTCACGCGCTCGGGCTGGTCGCGTCGGGCGGCGGCTCAGAGCATCTGTCGATCAAGCTGCACCTTCCGTCGCAGCGGACGGCGCGGATGCCGCAGGCGCAGTTCAAGCGGCTCTCGATGCTGCACCGCGTGATGGTCCCCTCCTCGGGCCACTGGTGCGTCCGAGAGGCCGTGCAGCGTGCTGCTGGCGAGGGGAGGCGCGTGGTGACGGCGCCTCCTCGTCGCTCAGGTACGTGCAGAAGCTGGGCAACATGGTGACGATCAACCGCGAGTTCCAGGCGCTCTCCTCGATGCGAGACCAATCAACTCGCCAATGATCGATTCATCACTTCCTCCCCCGGGCGCTGTACTCGATGCGGGACTAATCAGCGAATTCGTTCATTCCTCACTCCCCCAGGCGCTGTACTCGATGCGAGACCTGCCGCTGTGCGAGGCTCTGCTGGGTAGATGCGGAACTACGTGTGTGTTCACGCTCGAGCGCTCGAGAGGACACGCCTTCGGCTGTACTCAGCTCTGCTCAGCCGCATGCACTTTATCCGCAGCCCTTGCATCCACGCGCTGCCCTCAGAGCACACCGCTCGCACACCGCTCGACTCTGCCGCTCCTGGCGCAGGCGCTGCTGGCGCCTGGCCCGTCGCGGCTTCCCGCCTCCGCGACTCTCAAGCCGTCGGAGCGCCCGCTGCGCGCCGTCGAGACGGCAGCGAGCTACGTTTGACTAGCGCGCAGTCCTTGGTGTGGTCCATAGGAAGCCTTGCTGCGCGCAATCGAGACGCGATTCGACAAGTCGCAGCTGCAAGCGATCCGCCTCTCCCTCACCGGCCGAGGAGCGAGATGAGCCGAGATGAGCCGAGATCAGCCGAGATCAGCCGAGATCAGCCGAGATCAGCCGAGATGAGGTCCGCCCCTCCCTCACCGGCCGACGAGCGGCGCTCGTGTGGTTGGCCAGCTTCACAGCTGTCTCTGTCTGGACTGGCAGCCCCTGTATGACCTCTCTCTCTCTCTCGCTGCAGGCGTGACGCTCATCCAGGGCCCTCCTGGCACCGGCAAGACTAAGACCATCCTCGGCGCTCCCTCTCCCGCCCTCCTCGCGAGAGGCGCCCTCCTTGCCCCGAATGAGAGACTGGCTCCCACACACCCCCTCCAGGAATCCTCTCTGTCCTCCTCGCGACGAGGGACGCGCGCGCGCGGCAGGAGGAGGGCGCCGCCGCGCCGCCGCCCTCCGCCATCGCCCCCCTCTCCCCCGACGACCCGCACACCCGCCCGCCGCCCCCCTCGGTCGCCTCCCTCCTCGCCGCCGCGTCGCCATGGCTCCGCTCCAGCAGCTACGCGGGCATCGACGCGCCCGGCGTCAGACGCGCGGCCGCGCCGCCCGCCGCCCCCTCCTCCGCCGCCCCCTCCTCCTCCGCCGCCCCCTCCGCCGCCGCCCCCTCCTCCGCCGCCCCGGCCGCCCTGTCGCGTGGCGTCTTCCCGCACGCCGCCGAGACAGACCGCCACCTGTCTCTCGGCCGCGCCACGGTAGAGGCCCCTCCGAGGCACGTGCTAGTGTGCGCCCCCTCCAACGCCGCCATCGACGAGATCGTCGCCCGCATCCTCGGCCGCGACGGAGGCGGAGGGGGAGGGGGCGGCGGCATGCTCGACGGCGCGGGGCACCCGTGGGTGCCGGACTGTGGTGCGGGTGTGCGGCCTGGGGTGGCGGAGGGACTGACTCACTCTCCCTCGCTTGGGAGGTGCCCGCCGTAGTGCGGGTGGGGCCAAACGTCAACGAGGCGCTGCTCGACGTGTCCCTCGAGACGCTCGCCAAGCGGCGCGCTGCAGAGAAGGGGTGCTCGTTTGACGCTGCCAAGGCGCGAGAGCGAGCCGAGATACAGCCGAGATCGAGGCGAGGTGCAGCCGAGGTGCTGCCGAGGTGCAGCCAAGGTATAGCCGAGGTGCAGCCAAGGTATAGCCGAGGTGCGAGGTGCAGCCGAGGTACAGCCGAGGTGTGATGCCTGAAGGTGGGCGTGCTCAACGACGCGCAGATCGTCTGCACCACCCTCTCGTGCGCCGGCTACGCCATGTTCAACTCGCTCAAGAGCGGGTTCGACACGGTGCTCGTCGACGAGGCGGCGCAGGCGGTCGAGGTGTCCTCCCTCATCCCGCTCAAGTGCCACCCTCCCTCTGCCTGGAGCACTGCCTTCCAGGACATGTCCACGACATGTCCACGACATGCGCCCGAAGGTACGCCTGCCGCCGCCTCATCCTCGTCGGCGACCCGAAGCAGCTGCCCGCCACCGTCTTCTCGGAGGTGCTGTGATGTGAGAAGGGGAGGAGAGCCGTCATCTGACGTGCTACCGAGCAGCTCCCCGCCGCTCTTCTCGCCTCCTCGCGCAGGTTGCGACCCAGCAAAACTACGAGCAGTCTCTCTTCCAGCGGCTGCAGCGCGGCGGCCAGCAGGTCGCCCTCCTGCAGACGCAGTACCGCATGCACCCGCGCATCTCCTCCTTCCCGCGCGCCGCCTTCTACGACGGCGTCCTTCGCGACTCGCCGCACCTGGCAGAGATGCCGCCGCAGCCGTGGCACGAGGTGCGCGTCCTCGCGCCGTACCTCGTGCTCGACGTCGCCGACGGCCGCAGCGACGGGTGCGCGCGGGGGCCGTGTCCCGGCCATGTCCACGACACGTCCCGGACACATGCCTCGCAGGCCGCGCGACCGAGAAGCAGTCCTCGTGGCTCAACGATCTCGAGGCGCAGCTTGCCCTCGAGATCGTCCGGCTGCTGCTCGCAAGGCACTCTGCCGACCTGCAGCCCGCCTCAATCGGCATCATCTCGCCGTACAACGCGCAAGTGCGGCGCATCCGGCCGCGGCCTGCCCGACACGTCCAGGACGCGTCCAGGACATGTCCCGGACACGGCCCGCAGGTGCGGCACATCCGGCGAGTCCTCGCCGAGGCGCTCGGCGCCGAGACGGCGGCGGCGCTCGAGGTGAACTCCGTCGACGGCTTCCAGGGGCGCGAGAAGTCGGTGATCCTCCTCTCGACGGTGCCGAGACGAGAGCCGAGATTCGCCGAGATCGCCGAGATTGCTGGGATTCGCCGAGACTCGCCGAGATCGCTGAGATTCGCCGGGAGAATAGCCGAGAAGCCGGCCCTCCCCTCTCACGGCGGGACTTTGGGCCACGCGACCTTCCCGGAGCCCTCCCGGAGCCCTCCGACAGGTGCGGTCGGACTTCGGGCGGGAGCGCGGCCTCGGCGTGGGGTTCGTCAAGGACGAGCGGCGGATCAACGTCTCGATGACGCGCGCGAAGCACTCGCTCCTCATCCTCGGCCACGCCGCCACGCTGCGCCAGGCGCCCATCTGGGAGCGGCTGATTGACGACGCCAAGGAGCGCGGCTGCCTGCTCAAGGCAACCTCGCCCCTCTCGGTCTGGTTCGAGACGGCGAGCAAGCAGCGCGCCAAGGAGTGCGGCAAGCCGGCGTCGAGCGGCGGCGCGAAGCGCGCGCCGCCAAAGGTGGAGGCGGCGGCGGAGGGGGGGCGCGTGGAGGCCGAGGCGCCGGCGCGATCGCCGAGCGGGAGAGCAGCAGCAGCAAAGTCGACGAGGTCGCCGAGGAGGAGGCGCACCTAGCGCCCGTAGAGCTGTCACACAGAGTCAGAGAGGTCTGGTGCGTGGTGGGAAGGGCATGTGAGGAGAACGGCGCGAGCGCTCTTGAAATCGTAGTCTTTAAAAGAGCACACACAAAAAGCTCGGTTGCCAACGACTTGCCTGACCTCGCCTTACTCGCTCGTGTCGGCCACGCCCATCTCGAAGAGCCACGCCGCCGCCCCCTCCTTGAGGGGCGGGTGCTCCGCGCCGATGTGCCGCACCGTCTCCACCAGCGGCTGCCTCTGCCTCGCCGCGGCTTGCGACGCCTCACCAAAAGAGGCCCCGAACGCCTCTTTGAGGCGTGGCTGGCGGAGGAGGGCGAGGAGCGACGCGGCGAACGGCGGGGCGTACGGCGGCGCGACGACGGCGAGGAGGCGGAGTGCGACGTGGCGCGCGAGGGAGAAGTCTGCGGCGCTGCTCGAGGCAACCTCGCCCAGCGCCTCCATCACGGGCGCCACCACGCCCCGCGCGAGGAGCGAGATGGCGCAGTCCACCAGTCGCTTTTGCAGCGCGAGCCCGCCTTGGAGCTGCCGCAGCCGCGCGGAGAGCACGGCGCAGCACTGGCGCAGCAGCGCGGGCTGCGCCGCCGCGACGGCCATCACCACGCCAACCTGCGCCTCGGGCGCCTCCTCGTCCTCGCTCGCGTCGGAGCGGCGGCCGAGCGCGCCTCGCTGCAGCCCCTCGTGCGCCCACAGCAGGGCTCCGCCCGCCGCCGCCGCGTCGCTGCAGAGCGGAACCAGCCGCCGCGCCTGAGAGACAAGCGAGAGACAGGCGAGATATGGGCGAGAGAGGCGAGCCGAGAGACACGCCCGAAGTACCAGCCGCGCCTGAGAGAGGGGCTCCGACCCCTCCTCGCGGCACACACCGCTCGCCGCGCCGACCGCGCGCCGCGCCGCCGCCCATCCGCCTCCCGCCGCGCCTCCCGCCGCGCCTCCCGCCGCGCCGCCCGCCGCGCCGCCGGCCGCCGCGTCGCCAGGCGAGGCTGGCTCGCCCGAGGAGAGGGTGGCGAGCACGTCGAGCGCCGCGTGCAGCGCGTCGCCGGGAGGCAGACCCTGCCGCTGGGGCGGTGAGAAGGCGGCGGCGAGGAGGAGGCGGACGAGGGGAGGGCGGCGCAGCACGGGCAGGAGGGGCGAGGCGTCCGCTTCAGACGCGAGAGCTCTCAGCCGGACCGCATCCGCCGCGAGGAGAGAGCCTAAAGGGAGGCCTCCGAGCAGCCTCTCCCGACAAAGGCTCCTCCAGCCGGGGTTGCCGTCGAGTGCAGGGCAGCTGGCCCGACGCAGCGATGGAGACGCAGCAAGCGGCGAGAGGGGACTGGAGGGTGGCTCCGGCAGCGAGGAGCTCGAAGCGGTGTGCGCCTAAGGGGAGAGCGGTCAATGGCCACTCACGGAAGGGAGGAGAGGGAGAGAGGAGCAGGGAGGAGGAGCGGAGGAGCAGGGAGGAGCAGGGAGGAGCAGGGAGGGAGGCGGCGGCGGCGCACCGAGGCTTCGCTCGGCCGCCGCCGCCGCAACCTCCGCCGTCGCGTGCTGAAGCAGCGCAACCACCCCGGGCGGCACCACCTCCCCCTTGACCTCCCCTCCCCGCCCGGCCGCAGCCTCCTCGGCGGCGGCGCAGAGCCCGCCCAGCAGCAGCGCGGAGCAGGCGGCGCTCGCCTCGTCTCCAGCGCAGAGAGCGACCAGCGCCTTGCTCGCGCCTGGCCCGCCGCTCAGCCGCGCCGCCAGCCGGTCGGCGAGGCAGTCGAGGAGGTGGGCGACGGACGAACCGCCCGCGAGCGCCGCCGCGTCCCGCGACTCGCTCGTCCGCTCCGCCGCCTCGGCCGCGTGCGCCGGAGAGGCGAGGAGGCGCTGGACGGCGGTGTTGAGGAGCGCGCTGCTCGGGTGGCGCGCGTGCAGCGTGTACACCAGCTCGCGCCACCGCGCGCGCTCGAGGAGCTCGCCCAGCCACGGCGGGCCGCCCGGTGGGTCGCCCGCCCCGTCTGCGCGAGACGGGTCAAAGCGCGAGGCGCACAAAACGGCGAGCGTGTCGTCGAACGAGACGGCGATCTGCTCCTCGCTGTCGCCGGAGCAGAGGAGCCAGGCGTGCAGCGACTGGAGCCGCTCCTCCTCGGTGACTGGCATGCGCGCTCTCGCCTTGCCGCAAAAAAGAATTGGTGTCGACACGTTCCCGTCGGCTGGACTGCCCTCGTCGAGTGCGTGTCGCCAACCAAGGCGGGACGCACTCAGGGACAGTGACGGCGGGACGCGGCTCGAGAGGCGGCTCCCGCGGAGGCACGGCTGGCACCCGTGGCGCGGGGCTCGTCTTCGGAAAGACCAGGATCGCTCTACTGGCAAACTTCTGGCTGACACGCGCGCCCGGTCGAGCCTTCGGCGGGCGCGCTGCGGTCGCACGCCTACCCAAGTCATATGCCACGGCGTGCGATCTAGATTCAGCACACGCGCCTCTGCTCGCAACCACTCATCCAATGAACTGTCGTCACCCATGAGTGCGAGTTAGGGCTAGCGGCTGGCCAATAGCCTGTGAGGAGGGCGTCCATAGACACCTCACAAGACCCCACACACGGTCTCGTCCGTGCCTTGCGGCCGGCGACGAGATTGCTAGAGGCGGAGCAAGCCTGCTCTAGTCTCACACGTTCGCCCCTGTCGCCTGTCTGTGTTGTTGTGCTGTTGTTTGTCTCTTGGCACCTTGGAGTGCTGGGGGGGGCGACAGGGGGGACGTGGCCTGAGTGATGTGTACGCCCACTCAGGATGTGTGGCAGCCCGCTGGCTGTGTGTCTTGTGAGCTTGTTTGTGTCTGTGTGTCGCTCGTGCGTGTCGTCATCATCTGTCTTGCGTCCACCCATACCGCGTTGGTGTCCAGTCCGAGCCTGACTGTTCTTCACCTTACTACATACATACATACATGTGTGTGTGTGGCTAGCGCACCACACACCTCTCCTTAAAATCCCTGTGTGGTGGCGGCGTGCCGTCCTCCCATCCCTCCCTTGGGTTGTCTGTTTTCTTTCTTTCTTTCTTTCTGTGGTGTACCTGTGTTGTGTGTGTGTGTGACTAACTAGCCGTCGTCCACGTTGATCGCGTTGTCCGTCGGGTCCCTTAAACTCTGACTGATCTCGTCGTCCAGCCTCGGTGCTGTCGTTCTCCGCAAAGTCCTCACTCCTTCCCTCTCGCTCGGGTCTCTCTCGGAATCTCGGCTCTCACCGTCTCTCCGCGCCCGCTAGACCGGCTCGTGTCGCAGCACTGTCAGACGGTCTTCAAGCGCCAATCCAGGTCGTTGCTAAAGGAGGGCGTGCTCAAGAGCTCAAGTGCAAGCTCCCGCACGACATCTCCATCTGCGACGCTGACAGCCAGCCCTTGTCGATTGATGACATTTACGATTTTTTTGGCATCCTTAAATGCCACAGCGCACGGGCCCTTCGGGCTGGTAGAGTGCTGCGGCACATGCAGCACGAGGACGCAAATCACGCGTTCAACACCCACGCGGATCGGATCGACACAGCGTGCGGCGCCTGGTGGGCGACTTGAATGATCTTTTACAGCGAAAACAACGCTGCGCGAAGCTACGAGTACATCCTGCGCGTCTACTACAGACCGGGGGAGGAGCCGCCGGCGGGCCGTTTACCTTCACCAGTGCTGCAGGCGGCCCTCCGTATGAGATTTACATTGTCTACAAAGAAGCGACCAAATCGACGGGTATACCACCGGGGCGGCGGGGGCGAATCGCAGGGAGCACACAGTAGAGCACGGATGGTTAGGGTTAGGGTTAGGGTTAGGGTTAGGGTTATAGGGTTAGGGTCAGGGGTAGGGTTAGGGTCAGGGTTAGGGTGAGAGTTAGGGTTGACCGCCCCCCCGAACGCCCCCTTTTTTTGGCCGTCCCCACGCTAAAATTTCGAGTTCACTCTCCAAAACGCCACAAAAAGAAATCCGACGCCACAGCCCTCCCCCACCACAGTAAAACACCACCGGGGGCCCCTTCAATGGCACTCTTGCGCCTAACAAGGATTTTTCTTGATTGTGCTCCCGTCCCTTTATAGCTTATGGATATAGATTTTTGCTCGCGATATTTTGTTCACTCCAAGTGGAAGTGCTCCAAGAGCAAGACCAAGTGCCCGCGAGAGGAATGTGAGGAGCATTAGTGCTAGTCCCATCGGGGGGACGGCTCGCTTTAAACACTGCTCGACCGTCAGCCAGGAAGGGTGTGTCGCAACGCACTGTAATCTGTATTTAGTTTGGCCCGCAGCGGACCAGGACGTCACGACGCAGAGTCGTTCGCTGCTGTCTTCTCCACGCAGCAGCCGACGCCACCAGGCCTCGGTAGCTGAGCAGCAGGAGCCTCCTCGCTGCTGGCAGAGTTGCGCCTCTGTTTGCCGTCGCTAAGAGATCGTTGTTGCGGGAATCCAGGGAATCTAAAGGAATCTATAGCCGCAGGCGCATCCTGTGTCGAACGCGGGAACGCATGGTGATCGCAGACAGACTCCTCGATTGCGATGCTCAGTCTCCTCGATTGCGATGCTCGGGGCTCCATACCACTCGCCGCGCGGACACAAAGCTACGGCAGAGACGCCGCCGCCGCGGCGGCAAGTTCTATTCTCGGGTGAGCCTATTCTCAGACTCAGTTTGTCCAAGCATGGTGCTATAACGAGCGAGCAGGCGTGGGAGATCGGAGACGATCGGGGAGCGCGATGCGTACTTGCCCTCGATGTTGACCCTCCCCCACCACCCCTCTCTCCGGACGACGCCGCTCTCGCACCTGCTATGGTCTCTCTCTCGATACACAACACGCTCGTCGACTTGGCAACAAGGGTTGACTCCATCGCGCTAGGCGACGAACCTGCCCCCGCCCCATGGGGCGGGGACCCCCGCCCCCCCGGGGGGGCCCTTGGGGCCCCTCCAGGGGGCGACCCCTCCGGGGAGGCCGGCCTTCCCCGTGCCGGTTCTCCCCAACCAACCCCGCCGGCAGCGCGAGCTGCCGGCCACATTGAGCGGCTCGTCCGCGTCGCGCACTCGTCCCAACCGGGGGCCGCAGACTCGTTCTGCGCGCCAACGGCTGGTGACGCTGTGTTGCTTGAGCTAGTCCTTCCCCGGTCGCCTAGCCTCTGCGCTGTCTGGCGAACGCCTGTATGCCATGCGCGCGGACCACGCTTGCGTGGATACGTGGCTGGCAGGCTGACCTGTGTGCGGGGTAACCCGCGCACGGGGAAGCTTCACGGGTTCGAGTCGTCAAATTAAGCAGCGGAGGTGTGCCGAGGGGGACCGGGAGGCGGTAAGTCGTCGCCCGGCGCTGCTTGCAGCACCATGGCGATGGCGCTAAGAGGTTCCTCTTTTCCGCGCCCCCCCCGCAAGGCGCGCGATACACAAAACACCAAGTAATACATACTTTTGGATACACCCAACGCCGCCGCCCATACCCGCCACCCACAAAGCGCCTGCTCTACTTGACTATCCCGAACCACCCGCTCCACTTTCCACGGATCATGCCCGTGATAGCACCATCACTGCCGCCGTCCTGGTTTTGAACGTGGCAGCTAAGATATGCGCACCGTCGGCTCCTCCTCCCGCGCGTCGCCCCGCTCGGTCGCGTGCCACCGGCTCGCCCTCGGCGCGGTGATTCGCGTCGTCGCCAGCCACTTGCCGAAGCGGATCGTCCACCGCATCGTCGGGTGCAGACCGAGGGCCGTCCGCTGCATCGGCACGCTCTTCCCCGCCGCGGCCTGCGTCGCCAGGAACTCGCGCAGCCGCAGGCGCACGCGCCGAAGCTGCACCGACAGCGCCGGTCCGTGGGGCGCTAGCATCGGCCGCCCATCGCCGCGCGCGGCCTCCTCCTGCCGCTCGTCATCCTCCGCCTCGAGGGCGTCCGCCAGCGCGCTGCGCCGCACACCCCGGCGCACAGGAGGCGGCGCCGGCCGCGCCTCGGCCGCCTCGGCGTCGCCCGCGGCACGGGCGCCCTGCTCGCCGTCCGCGCGGTCCATCGCCGCATCCCCATCCCTGGCTGCGGCAGCGCCGCCTGCGCCCGCGCCGGCCTGCTCTGGGACGGCGCGCCACCGCTCGTCGTCCAGCATGTGCCACCACCGCCGATCCGGGTAGCCGTCGTACTCGACCTCGTGCACGATCCGTCCGTCCCCGTCCTCCTCCCGCGCCATGACGGTCGCAGGGTACCACCGCTCACTGTCGCAGAAGATCTCGAGGCGCGATCCGGTGGACAGGACAGTGTGGCCGTCGAGCGCCGCCCTGGCATCCTCGCGCTTTCGCTTCCGGCGCATCGCCTTCGTCTCCTTGCTGCGCAGCAAGGGTGTAGTTCGGGCCCACCTCCGCCACGCTGTCCAGCAGCTGGGGGCGGCACTCGCCATCTCGCCCGCGTCGGCCTCCGGCGGAAGCTCCGCGTCGCCCGCGGCCGCTTCCCGAGCGCGCTCGTCGCGCATCCGCTCGTGGTGGGCCTGCCGACGCGCCACGCCGGCGCCCGTGTGCCTCGCCGCCGCGTCCGGCGACGGCATCGATCGCTGCCACAGGTCGTCCCACAGGTCGTCCCAAATAGGACGCATCCAGACCGCCGCATTACGACCGCCGAAAAGTCTCCCACTCGCCTCCCCAAACCTAAATCGTCTCACTAGTTACATACATACAAAAGTGAACTCCTCCATCCACGCCAGACCCCCCGCCCCCCCTTTCAGTTCTCACGACGCCCAACGTCCTCCAGCCGATACTGTAGCGTTCGTTAGCATCGCGCCGTGTTTCCCCACGCGCAAACAAAGGCCAGAGTCGCGCGGGTTGCAGCTGGCATTCTATGCTCCAGATGCATCGTGTGGCTTATCGGCTTATTAGCGGAACAAAAAAGCGGCGCTTAACCTCTCTTCTCACACGTATGTTCCCGTTCCCTCCCCTCACAGGATGCAGATGCAGAATGCAGAATCGGCCCCAAAGCTGTGAACTGCACCCGATGCAGGATGCAGATGCAGAATGCAGGATGCAGAAGCGGGCCCAAAGGTACAGCTGTGAGAGACATGCAGGATGCAGGATGCAGAATGCAGAATGCAAATGCTCACCCGCAGCCAGGAGGGACAGGGAGCGGACAGAGTACCGATGGCGATGCAGGATGCAGGTGCAGAATGCAAAAACTCGCCCAATAATTGAATATAGGTAGCACGTAGGAGAGGCCAAAATGCAAAAAAAGAGTCACGTAATGCATATCGCACCCAAGAGTGCACTCACTGTGTGTGCAGAGAGGGTCTGTATGGTGCAGATGCTCTCTATGCAGACTGCATGCTGCATGCACATGTCTCATACACAGAGAGAGAGAGAGAGAGATTCGCAAAATGCACGCTCCTGCAAATCCCCTCTCGCCTCTGCCGGAGGCAATGGAGGGACGTCTTGCGAGCGGGGCGCCTCAGGGGCGCCCTCGGGACGACAAGCTCACCAGTACACGGGGGGGGGGGGGGGTGCGGCGATGAACGTTAGCATCGCGCCGTGTTTCCCCACGCGCAAACAAAGGCCAGAGTCGCGCGGGTTGCAGCTGGCATTCTATGCTCCAGAGCATTCGCAGACGCCGCACCGCCCCATTAATCAGGCAGTCAGTTCCCCAACGTCGAGCCTCTCCCGCTCAGACCTCGCGGCCCGCGCCACCTGAACGAGTGATGCTACTTGCGGCCCTGTGGCCTCTTGCTCACCCCACGGGTTTGTCGAGTGTATCGCGCGCCTTGCGGGGGGGGCGCGGAAAAGAGGAACCGGCGAGGCGCAGCGCAGCACCAGCTCCCCCACCTCCTTCATCCTAAGCTTCAGCTCCGCCACCTGCTCCGCCAGCTCGGCATTGGAGCGGCGCTTCGGCCGCGGACTTGGCATGCCGCCCCGCGCCTCCGTCGACGAGGAGCGGCGAGGTGAAGGATGGTCAAATGGATTGAGGTCCGTCGACGAGGCAGGCGGTGCAGCGTTGTCCGTCGACGAGGAGCGGCGAGGTGGAGGATGGTCAAATGGATTGAGGTCCGTCGACGAGGCAGGCGGTGCAGCAACGAATTTGATGCTGCCCCGCGCGCCGTTGGCGCCGCGCTTGACAACCCGTTTGTCCGTCGACGAGGAGCGGCGAGGTGGAGGATGGTCAAATGGATTGTGACTAGCGGAGCTCAAGGCCCTCCAGGGACTTGGCATGCCGCCCCGCGCCTCCTCCTCGTCGGGCTCCACGAGCCGCTTGTGAGGCGGCTTGCGCCGCCGGCAGCAGCAGCGGTAGAAGCAGAGCGCCAGGAAGAGCCACCCGGCTACTCCCAGCGCCAACTTCAGCGGGGACTTGGCGAGGATGGCTCGGCCAAGTTTAGCTTTAGCGAGATCGCGAAGGAGAGGGTGGAGAGCACTCGGAGTGGATGTCCGGTTCCGGTCGTCCAAGTTTAGCTTTAGCGAGTCGCCGAGGGGGCGCAGGCTCCACTCGCGCACCGCGCTCCCGTGTTCGGCGACCTTCTGGGCCCACCGCTCAGGGAGCAGCGCGCCCAGCTCCTTCTCCAGCTCCTTGACGACGGGCGCCACGGTCTCGTACCCCGTCCGCACCGTCTCGTTGAGCATCTCTACGAAGTCGGCGTAGAAGGGTGGGGGTGGGGCGAGCGGCGGCGGAGGCGGCGGCGGCGGCGGCGGCGGCGTCAGAGGCGGCGGGGTCGGAGGCGAGGGCGGGGCCGCGGGAGGCGGCGGCGGCGGGGTCGCTGGCGAGGGCGGGGCCGCGGGAGGCGAGAGAGGCGGCAGCGGCGGCGGCTTCGGTGGCGGCGGCGGCGGGGCCCCGGGAGGCGAAGGCGGCGGCGGCACGGAGCAGCAGCCGCGGCAATGCGGGCAGGTGTGGCCGGCCCAGGCCCACTGGAGGGAGGGGTTGGTGCAGGAGGTGCCGATAAAGTCTCCGCAGGTCTGGCCAAGGCACCGCGCGTCGGGGAAGGCACACGGCAGGGGCAGTGGCGGGAGCGGCGGCGGCGGAGGCGACGGCGGCGGTGATAATATTTTTTCGTAGCACGTCGTGCCGCTCGAGGGCGTTGCGCCCGCAATCGCGTCCTCCGGCGCTTGCGCCTTATAGGTCTTGCACTCGACCTGACCTCCGACGAGCGGAGCGTAAACGCTGTAGCCGACGCAGAAAGCGTCGACGTCGCAGGACCGGCGGCAAGTGGCGTGATTCTCTGCGTAGGAGAGGATGTTGAACCACGACGCGGAGTCGTACTTCCCAGGGCCGCCGGCGCGGGTTACACACGCGCCAGCTCGCCCGAGGTACAGGAAAACCACCATATTGGAGCACACCTCGAGACGTGAACGCCGTCGGGGGTACTCGAAGAGTACCGCGGGATACGCGAAGAGAAGGCGCCGTTCATACTCGAGTAGAGAATGAATTTAAGGTGTAATCGAGTGAGGTCGGCGCGAGAGGCGGCGTCGGCTGAGCTGCGGACGTGGGCGCAAACGCGCAGGCGGCGCAGTAGCAACCATCCGTGGCCGCGGCGCGCGCAGCGCGGGGCTGGAGACGAAGGAGAAGAGAGCGACAGCATGGCAGATTTAGAGGGATTCAGACCATGGGGTGCCAATCCGGTTCCCGGCAGATTTAGAGCATGCAGGCGTTTTGAAAGAGAAAGCGGGTACAAGAAGAACATAACGCACTCTCTCACGTTACAAGGGACAATCTGCAACAGGGAGGAGTTGGGCGACAAGACATGCGCAGAGGGCGGTAAAAAGCGAGGGCGGTAAAAAGCAGACGACCCGGACACTGCTCCGCCGATAACGATTGGGGTAGGGGCCCTAACTCGTGATAGGCCACTATAGTTTCCCGCAGGAGACTCACGGAGACCCTCTTCATCTCCTTCCTCCTCAGCCTCTATGTTCTTCACGGACGCTCTCCGTGAATCCAGACATCTGTTACACCTTTTACCTCGTACATCTTTTACGGGCTTTCGGCAAAGCGCCGCCGTCTGGACGGCGAGAGAAGCCTAGAGAGAAGCGTAGGCTGCAGCCGAGAGCCGACCACCACCGGCCGGCCGGCGCCTCAAAAGAAGAGAGAGAAATTTTGAGACCCAACTCTCTTCACCTTGTGTGGGTGCGACCCATGCCTGCCCTGCCCATTGTCATTCATACGTCTCCATGCATGGCGCCAGGAATTCCTCTTTCTCCCGTGGTGTACCTGCCTGTGTGTTAGTGCCAGTGCGCGCCAGTCCCGTGCCCAGTGTCGAGTGTCGTGCCACGTGCGAGGGAGCTTTATTGTAAAATTCTTCTTTCATGGTTTGCCTGTGATAGTGCTAGACCGTAGACGCGCCAGTCCGCACCTGTGTCGAGCCTGTGTGCTGTGAGAGAGCGTTGTGTTCATTCAATTCTTCTTTCTAATGGTGCAAAACGCTCGGGGACGCACGAGCAAAGGCCAAAGCTGATAGGTGATAGCTGTGCACACATGTACATGTGCATGTGCATGCACATGTGCATGCACATGTGGCCGCCACCGTGCAACCGAGTCTTCTGGGGGCGAGACCGAGGAAGAGGCTCTATCACCCAGCTCTCGCGCGGTGCTGCAGAAACTCGCACAGCTCAAACTCACGAGTATCGAGTTGAGCTTCAAAGCTTGCCGAGGAGCAGAGCTGTGAGGCTGTGACGGAGGAAGAGAAGCAGAAAGAAGGCGCCAGAATAAAGATCGAAACACGAAAGTCCAACAAAAAATCGGGCACCTTCAAAAATCCGATTTCAGGTGCATGTATGTGCCCTTTTGTGCTTTTAGTTATTTAGAGAGAGCTGAGAGAGAGAGAGAGAGAGAGAGAGAGAGAGAGAGAGAGAGAGAGAGAGAGAGAGAGAGAGAGAGAGAGAGAGAGAGAGTCGCAAAATGCCTTGAAGAGAACACAGGCACACCATCACGCACGCAAACGCACGCTCCTGCAAATCCCCTCTCGCCTCTGCCGGAGGCAATGGATGGGACGTCTTGCGAGCGGGGCGCCTCAGGGGCGCCCTCGCGACGACAAGCTCAACAGTACCCGAAAGGGGGGGGGGGGGGGGGTGCGGCGATGAACGTTAGCATCGCGCCGTGTTTCCCCACGCGCAAACAAAGGCCAGAGTCGCGCGGGTTGCAGCTGGCATTCTATGCTCCAGAGCATTCACAGACGCCGCATCGCCCCATTAATCAGGCAGTCAGTGCCCCAACGTCGAGCCTCTCCCGCTCAGACCTCGCGGCCCGCGCCACCTGAGTGTGATGCTGCTTCCGGCCTTGTGGTCTTGAGCTCACGGCGAGTGTATCGCGCGCCTTGCGGGGGGGGCGCGGAAAAGAGGAACCGGCGAGACGCAGCGCATCACCAGCCCCCCCATCTCCTTCATCCTAAGCTCCTGCCAATGAAGGGCATCGGAGCGGCGCTTCGGCCGCGGACTTGGCATGCCGCCCCGCGCCTCCTCCTCGTCGGGCTCCACGAGCCGCTTGTGAGGCGGCTTGCGCCGCCGGCAGCAGCAGCGGTAGAAGCAGAGCGCCAGGAAGAGACACCCGGCTACTCCCAGCGCCAACTTCAGCGGGGACTTGGCGAGGATGTCTCGGCCAAGTTTAGCTTTAGCGAGATCGCGAAGGAGAGGGGGGAGAGCACTCGGAGTGGATGTCCGGTTCCGGTCGTCCAAGTTTAGCTTTAGCGAGTCGCCGAGGGGGCGCAGGCTCCACTCGCGCACCGCGCTCCCGTGTTCGGCGACCTTCTGGGCCCACCGCTCAGGGAGCAGCGCGCCCAGCTCCTTCTCCAGCTCCTTGACGACGGGCGCCACGGTCTCGTACCCCGTCCGCACCGTCCCGTCGAGCATCTCGACGAAGTCGGCGTAGAAGGGTGGGGGTGGGGCGAGCGGCGGCGGCGGCGGCGACGTCGGAGGCGGCGGGGTCGGAGGCGAGGGCGGGGCCGCGGGAGGCGGCGGCGGCGGGGCCGCTGGCGAGGGCGGGGCCGCGGGAGGAGGCGGCGGCGGCGGCGGCGGGGCCGCGGGAGGCGAAGGCGGCGGCTGCACGGAGCAGCAGCCGCGGCATTGCGGGCAGGTGTGGCCGGCCCAGAGTCCCTGGAGGGAGGGGCTGGTGCAGGAGGTGCGGATAAAGTCTCCGCAGGTCTGGCCAAGGCACCGCGCGTCGGGGAAGACACACGAGGTTGGCTGGAGGTCCATATTGGAATCCAAAAAAGCCGACGGGGGTACTGAGGCGCCGTTCATAGAGAATGATTTGAATACAGTGAGTGAGGTCCCCGGAATATGGTTTGGTACTTTGGCCGAGCTGGCGCGTGTGTAACCCGCGCCGGCGGCCCTGGGAAGTACGACTCCGCGTCGTGGTTCAACAGCCTCTCCTACGCAGAGAATCACGCCACTTGCCGCCGGTCCTGCGACGTCGACGCTTTCTGCGTCGGCTACAGCGTTTACGCTCCGCTCGTCGGAGGTCAGGTCGAGTGCAAGACCTATAAGGCGCAAGCACCGGAGGACGCGATTGCGGGCGCAACGCCCTCGAGCGGCACGACGTGCTACGCAAAAAAATATTCACCGCCGCCGTCGCCTCCGCCGCCGCCGCTCCCGCCACTGCCCCCGCCGTGTGTCTTCCCCGACGCGCTGTGCCTTGGCCAGACCTGCGGAGACTTGATCGGCACCTCTCCTGCACCAGCCCCTCCCTCCAGGGACTCTGTCTGTGGGCCGGCCACACCTGCCCTGCCGCCGAGGGCGGCTACGCCACCTCGCCACCGCCATCGGCGTGAGGGCGGCGCGTCGAGGAAGCAGAGCGCCGAGACGCCACGAGGCGGCCAGTTCCGGGGCGCGGGGGTCTCTCTACAGCCCAGGCGTCCGGCAAAGAGTGTAAACCCTGGATCCCATGGGTCAAAATCCTCAAGCGCCATCGCCACTTACTTGCCGCGCACGCCCTACTCTCAGCCTCCGTGCGCAAAAGGCCGACGCACGCCCGACTTGTGCACAACGGCGGTGACTAGGTCCGGCCTAGGGTGGCACAGATCTGACGTTTTGTGTCTGTGTCTGTAAGTATAAAGATGAGAGTGAGGTTGAACCGGACCCAATCAAAGTCGGCGGGTTTCGAAGGGGGGGGTAACGGCGGGCGCATTTGGGCACATGACAGGGAGAACTCTGTGGTGGACCCGCTGGGCGAAAGGAGCTCGCAGACCGTTGCAGCCTCACGATGTCATTGAGCGGAGCGAGTGCGAGCGCGGCGGCCAAGCAGCGGCACCAGCCACCAGGAGCAGCGGCGAGCTGACACGAGCGCGCTCGTCGATGCGGCGAGGGGGCAGAGGCAGATGCCCGAGCTGCCGCCGTACGTGCCAGAATTCGACCTCGCGTTCTTTCAGATGCTGGGCGCGGTGGAGCTGTCCGGTCGGAGCCAGAAGACCCAGCCACTGGCGATGACGAGACGATGATGCAGGAGGCCGCCGTCGACATTGCCCTCCAGCTTTTGACGGATGACGGGGGGCTGCAAGCGCTGCTCGCATCTGATGAACCGAGCGCAGAGAGGGTTGCGCTGGAGGGCGCCGACAACGCGCTTGCAAACTCGCGTGCGAGGTCTTTAGGTTAGGTGTAGGAAGGTGAAGAACGGCCAGGCTCGGACTGGACACCAACGCGGTATGGGTGGACGCTGGACAGATGATGACGACACGCACGAGCGACACACAGACACAAAAGGCTCGAGGTTGGATCAGCTTTACTGACATCATCAGATCCGTGTTTTTCTCGTTGTTTTGAAACGGCGACCGGCGACCATCTCTTCCGACTCCGGCTTCGGCTGTCCCTGGTAGTCGACAAGCTGCCGAGCCCAAATCACTGTCAGTGCCAGATTTTCTTGTTGGCTTTTAACTCTCTCTCTCTCTCTCTCTCTCTCTCTCTCTCTCTCTCTCTCTCTCTCTCTCTCTCTCTCTCTCTCTCTCTCTCTCTCTCTCTCTCTCTCTCTCTCTTGTTTTGTCCCTCGCTCCGCTCGCCACCTCACGCTCTCGGGTCCAGCCATGGCCAGTACCCCGCGTCTCAGTGAGACGCGTGGTACCATCCTGTTCCCGGGCATTCACACTATATTCCTCTGAGATAATATTATATTTCGCCGCCACCGCGGCGCGCGCGCTTTATCCGCGCGCTATATTAGTTGAGCCAAACTTGTGTTCTTGTTTTGGATCAAACTTGTTACAGCTCAGCGAACGCGATGCGGCCTCTGCCTAGCCTCCTGCTCCTATGCGCGAGCTACGGCGTGACCGCTATCGCGTATGGCTTCCCCTCCGGGAAGCACGGCCTCGACTACTGCATCGCCGAGGCCGACACCACCAGCGACATGACAGCGTCGACCACCATGGCACCTCCACCATGGACAAGCCTTGCACCATGTATGTCAGCCACCACCTGGGCGCCTGGCGTGTGCGAGCACAACCCTATGCGGGATGAAGGATCTGAACAATGCATTCGACCGGCCTCTTTGAGCCCGTCCGAGTCCGCCATTTGTTTCGACGATCCATTTTTTGACTTCTTCCTCGCTATTTGCAGACTTCAGACCAGTACAAGTGAGGACACGTGTGCCTCCACTCACACTACCTCTCAGGCGATGGAGCACGCGCTACAGTCGGCTCCTGAGGCCTCATCCACCCACTGCGGCCAATCTGAATTTTCGGCCCTCCGCAGCCCCGCGATACAGGTGCACTCATGGCCCAATACGATGGCGCTACAATTCATGAGGCACGGGACTCTTGCTGCGACAACCCAGCCCCATAGGAAGCCTGCGACACACATGCCGCCGCCACCTTTGCTGGATTACTCAATGCTGCCCATTCTTCTGGGTCAATGCGACGGGAACGGCTTCCTTTGCCTCCAAAATGTTTCACCGTGGAACGCTACATTTGACCCTACACCTTGGCAGAAAGTCCTTCCCCGGGACCACTCGGACACGTCGAGTGCAGGAGAGGCATTGCACCATGGGACATGTTCTTCTGACCGCTATCGCGTACATCCAACTCCGGTCGATGGGCTCGAATGCGCTCAGCCTCAGGAGGGACAAAACCACGCGAATTCTGCACGCCTCGCTGCGCCGCTGGCTTGACTGAATCAGGCAGCAGCAGGCTGCTGCTGCTGCCACAGCAGCAGTCTGCTGCGGCCCCAATACGCAAGTTAATGACCAGCATTGCTGCCGGGGGCATTCGAGCCGCCACAGCCGGTGTGCGGCCGTGCACTGCCACCTGCCCGCGGCTACGCACATGTGCGCTCGCATTGGATGACGCCCTGCTGATGGACCTGCGTCGCCTAGCTGCACGAGAGCAATGCCGCACGAGCGGCGGCCGTAGCATACACTGCGAGCACACTCGGTGCAGCTGCGAGGTGCAGCAAGAGCACGTCGTTCCTGCCTCTGATGCCACTCTCGCGGCTTGCAGCGCGTCACTCCATGGTCACTCGCGCATGCTCTCCAGGAGCTATGGCGGGCGTGTGTGTGGTTGTAGCCTGTGTTTGGCCGGTGTTCTCCTGACCCGTTTACTATCAGTACCATGCCTGGGGGCCACAATAATCGCACACGGGGAGCGGCTCAGGGGCCCAGTGAAGCCGCGGAATCGCCAAATGTCACAACCCATGCCACCCAGGGCTGGACCTAGTCGGTAGTCCGGTGTGCCCGCCGGCGCCGCCGCGCAGGTACAGGTGAAAGAAAATTTGAGGCAACCCCCCAAATGATCACGGCCGACTTCGCCCGCATTATAGAGGCTCCCGCCGATCTTAGACCGCGTAAGCACCCCAGCGTGACGCGTCACACTTAGACCCGCTAAGCCTCGCGAGGCTCAGAACTTAGCCCGCTACTACCCAACCTGCAACCAGTGTGGACTGTGGTCTGTCCGTCTGTGGACTCTGTGTGCGGCAGTGTGCGCGGCACGCGGTGCCGCGCACGTGTACGTGTGTCGAGATCCGCTGTTCCACCTCAGCCGCGTGCGCTTAGCCAGAGAAAGGACGGCGTATCGATGCGAGCAATGCCAATGGGGGTTGGGGGCTGATAGGGGGTTAGGGGCGTATTTCAAGAGACCTGTGAGGCAGCTGCGAGCTGGCCGTCAGGAGGTTGGTGTGTCGGCACACAAGCACAAACGCGCTCACTGGATGCTGCAGTACGATACGCTCCAACCCCACCACTCATCGGTCGGCTCCTGGGTCTGGGGCACGATCACCGGCATCAGTGTAGAGTCGCCGGCTTGGGTAGAGTCGCCGCCACCCTTGGGCGCTGCAGCTCGGCTGCCAACTCTCCAGTCGCAAAAGTCGTCCGACGAGGACGCGTCGTCGCTGCTCGCCACGCCCCACTCCTCCAGGAGGCGGGCGATGACCGCCGAGAGCGGCTCTGGCTGCGGCGGAGGCGGCGGAGAGAGAAAGAAGCCTCGAGCAGCGCCTACCTCTGTGATGGACGACCAAGAGGTCCTCACGGGCATCCACGAGCGAGCTCGGGGCTGCACCTGCTCCTTGCGCGGGGGCAGCCTGTCCCTCTTCAGAAGCTCGGCAGGCAGTGGACGTGATAGCGGTGAACCGGTCGCGGGTCGGGTCGCGCGGGCCGCTGCGCGCCTGTGGTGGGTTTTTTGTTTTTAATTTGTTTCGGTTTTTAATGCAGAGATTTCTTTTGGTTGCGGCACACTCGTTGCCCGATGAACGGCGAAGCGAGCATCCGCTGCGTCGTCCACCTGCGCGGCCTTCTCTGGTCGTGCACGCCTGACGACGTGCGAGCATCTGTCTCGCCGCTCCTTCCTGCCCGTTGTTTCTTGCACGATGTCTTCCTGCCGCTCGATGCACGGGCGCGCCCCTCCGGCACCGCCGTGCTCGTGCTGCACGCGGAGCGGCCTGCCGCCGCCTCGAGCGAGCGCAGCGTCGACGCGGCGGTCGCCGCCGCCGCACGCCGCATCGCAGTCGCTCTGGACGGCGCGGTCGTTCGCGGCGATGACGATGCCTCAGAGTCCGTGCGCCACCTCCGTGCCACGCCTTCGTCCGCCCGCGCGCTCAAGGAGAGCCGCGCCCGCTCGTCTGCCGCCGCCGCTCGTGCTTTGTCGCTCGCGCCGCAGAGCTTCAATGCAGGCGCCGCAGCCGCCACCACTGCCATTGCCGCTGCTCCGAGCCGTCGTGACTTTGTCGTCGTCTGCCACGCGGCGGCGGCGGCGGCGAGTGGCGCCTTTGAGCTGTCGGACCTCAGCCGTGGGCGCGTCGACCTCATCGCGAGGTGATCCCTCTCCTCCTCGCCCCGCACGGTCATGTCCAGATCACGCCCAAGACACGTCCACAACACACGACCACCCCGTTCTGCAGATGCGCCTCTGCCGCCCTCTTCACGTCGCACGGCGTCCGGCGCGGCTGCCGCCTCTGGCTGCCTCTCGTCGGTGCGCTCCGCCTCGCCACCCGCACACTGCCCGCACACAGGGCCGCCACCTCAGACGCGTCCACCGCGCACCTCACCCTGATTCCGCGCCACAGCCCGCGATCATACCCTCATCTTCGAGATTGTATTTGTCGAGGCGCCCACCACACTCGCGTGTCCGTCCAGGCGGCGGCCTCACCCTCTGTCTCGACGGAGACCGCGCGCGCCGGCTGAGGCCCGGCGAGCGCTCGACCTATCGAGCATTGGCGAGGATTACTTACTTCATACGTCGAGCTTACAGGCCCGACGAGCGCTCAATCGCCGCGCCTCTCCGCGTGGTGCTGAGGCGGCACGTGCAGGAGGTGGTGCCCGGGGGGGAGGAGGAGGCTGCGGCCTCGGACACGGCTGCAGCACCCGCCGGTGTGGCTGGGGAAGCGGAGGGGGGTGGTGGGGTGGACGGCGGCGGCGAGGGCGGCGGCGGCGGCGGCGGCGGCGAGCGTGGCAAAGGAGGTAGCGGTCTCGGAGGCGGCGAGTGGAGTTCGCAAGGGTGGAGCGTGCACGGTGGCGACAGCCTCGAGTCGCTGCTTGACAAGCTTGGGTGCGCGTCGGCGGAGGGGGGGCGGTGCGGCGGGCGGGGCGCCTGCGGTGGCCGCACGCGGCTGGTTGCGCTGCACGAGGGCGGCGGACCGCTCGGGCGAGTGGTCGCCTCCAGCGCCGCGCACGAGGCTGGCGGGCGGGCGGCTGGCGGCGGGCGGGAGGCGGGCGAACCGGCTGGTGGGGAGAGGCGGAGGGTGGTGGCAGTGCTGGGGGACCACCTCGGCCTTACGACGCAGGAGGAGGAGGCGCTTCGGAGGCGCGGCGCCGCCTTCTGCACGGTCGGCCCGACGGCACTGCTCAGCAGCCACTGCATCGTCCTCGCCCACCACGCCCTCGACATCCTGGATGCGGGGTGACCGCACCACCACCAAGCACATTTGTCTTGTGAGAGACCGGGCCCGCGGCGAGTCTCAGTGGCGGGGTGGGGCTGCGCGCGCTGGGGGGGCAGGGGGATGTACGAAGAGATTAAGAGTAGCAGGGACCCGAGGGACCAGATGTGGAAGACGGCTAGTAGTCCCCCACCGGGAGGACGACCCCGGCTAGTCGCCGACCGGACCACACCCACACTAGAACCCCTCACAAAAGATCGCACGGGCGGGGACCTCACGGACCTGTTCCTTTTTACCCATCTCTCACAGTAGAGCTGTCCTTTTTTATTTATTTCAAAAGACCGAGAGGCCCACGCGCCACAGCCCACACGCCCCACGGGCACCGCGCGGCCACGCAACCCTTGTCCCGCTTGCGTGTATGTGTGAGCAGCTACGAGCCCGGGGAGAGAAGAGTCTGCCAGGAGACTGAGTGGATTCCTGAGGTTCGCGTTTTTCTTTAGGATTCTATTGCCCTTGGGCCTTGGCAAGCCCTTGGCCAGCCCCCCCTGCGGGCTCTTGATCGCTCCCTCGTCGCGGTCTCTTCGGAGTTCGGTCTCGCGCGTGCCGTCTCTCTCGCTATCTAACATTGAATCATCCCTTGATGCGGACGATTCTTTTCGCTGTATCCGCGGCGAGATGTGGCGGGATGCCGCAGGATAATACCGCGTGATTCCTTGGGTGGGAGATTACCGCGGGGGAGATACCGGGATACGGTACGACACAGGGCAGATACGGGGAGATACAGGTGACACATTAGATACGGGCAGAGCGGCAGACACGGGCAGATACGGGGAGAGGGGGAGAAAGGGAGGGATACGGGAGTTAGCGCAAAAGAATCGCGCCACAAACACAGCGTCTCCACGCTGGAACAAATGCCGGAACAGATGACGATGATGGAGGCAATCTTTCGGGAGGACACGGACGCCCTGCGCCGTCTCTGTGAGCAGCATGATGTCGACGCACCGCTCATCCGTCCTGATGGCTCCCCGTGTCCGCCGGCAATCGTGCTCGCCATCATCAAGGCGGGCCCCGCACATCACCCTCGTGCCGAAGCCCTTGCCATCGCAACCCCTGCCGTTGACCGTTGACCCACCGCACCCGTGTCCCCAGGGAAGCGCGGAGTGCGTCGATATTCTCCTGGCCCACCAGCCGGAGCTCAACGACCTCGACGTACTCGGGATTCCTTGCTGCCCGCTCACGATGGCGGCGCAGGTAGGCAAGACGCGGATCGTTCGCGCGCTCCTCAAGGCCGGCGCGGTGGCGGACGTTGTCAGCCTGTCGGACGGCAGCACCGCCCTCCTTACGGCGTGCGAGAACGCCGAATTCGATGTGGTGCAGAGCCTCATCGAGGCGGCCGCCGACGTCAACCACCAAAAGTATGGAGGCATGACGCCGCTCGGCCTCTCCATCAGCAAGTACTGCCGCCTCGGCTGCATCGAGGCGCTCATTAAAGCGGGCGCGAGCCTGGCCGGCGAGGCGAGTCTGCCTCCGCGATATATGCCACCGCCTTCGCAGCCTCGGCTCTCCCAGCCCCACGCGTGTCGCGAGACCCTCCCCCACCCGCCACACTCACCTCTCCCGGCGCCTCCCCCTTCCCCGAGGCGATCGACGATAGCGAGCTCTGCCAGGGCGGGCTGTGGCACATGGTCGGCCCCAAGGCTAGCCTCCCCCCCCTCCTCGCCGCCATCTTGTTTGGCATGGAGCATTGCGTCCCCCTCCTCTCGTCGTACGGCGCCCCGCGGGCGGCGCAGCGGCAGATGCTCGGCTCGCCCGAAACGACCTCGGTCCCCATCCTGTCGCCCCTTGGGGGGCTGAGCAGCCAGTTCCTCCAGATGACCATGATGTTTACGTCCTCCTCGTCCGAGCAGCGCACCGTCACGCTCACCGCTGAGGCGCTCTGCGGCGCGGCCGAGGGGAGCGAGCACGTGCACCCCTCCGTGCCAAAGGGCAGCGGCCGCCTCCTCTCGTGGCTGGAGGAGTCTCGCGACTGGACGCCGCTCCACCACATCGAGGCGCTGAGCAAGGAGCGCGCCCTCGCGCTGCTGCGCGACGGTGCCAACACCCTCCCCTCTACCTCCCTCGCGCGTGTGTCCACACCCCAACGTAACGGGTCACACGCACAGGCGCCAAGCTCCACGCCGGCTCCCCCTCGCCGCTTGAGCGGGCGCGCGCGATCGGCGACACCCTCTCGCTGTACGAGCGCGTCGAGGTGCACGGCCTCACGCGCGCGGCACTCAACGGGCTCGTCGGCGTGGTGGTGGGGTTCGACGAGGAGAAGGGCCGCTGCGTCCTCCGCCTCGAGGAGCGCCCGAGCCCGAGTGCTGCCGTCAGGGGACTGTGCCACACACGCCACCTCTCTGAGCGACAGATGGCGTCACGCTCTACAGGAGTCGCAGTCGGAGATTGCTCGCGCAACCGGCGTCGACTGGAGCACGGCCGACGAGAAGCGCGAGGCGCGCCACGTCTCGATCAAGCCCGCCAACCTCAAGGGAGAGCAGGCGCGGCTGCCTCCTCGAGGACTTGTACTCGTGCAACGCCTCCATGCCCCCACCCCGCGCCCGCCCCTCCCACCACCACTCACTCACCGCTCGCGCCCGACTGGCGCCCTGCTTGCTGTCGCGACGCACGAGTAGTCGCTTGTGGCGTGTGCAGGTCGCCTCTCTCCTCCTCGAAGCGGCCGTCTGGTCGCCGCGCTCGCACCACACTTTCCCGGCCGAGGCCCGCGCTCGCGCCGCCGAGCTCATGCGCATCGGCTACCTCTTCGCGCACGGCAGCGACCGCGGGCGCACCACTGAGCTCGTCGACGTCTGGCGCGGCCACGTCGTCCCCTTCGCGGTCGAGCGCGAGTGAGCGGCGCGGGCCCCTCCGGACCACGAGTCCGCCTCTCGTCCGGCGCGCAGCCGCGCGCATAGGCGCCTGACAGGGTGCGTGCACGGACATTACGCGGAGATGCCTGGCCACGAAGGGCGTGGGCAAGCGCTTGTGGTGGCGCCCCCGCGTCCTAGGAGAAGGCGCAGTACTGCCTTGCATATTGGTGGGGGATGCGGATGTGTGGGCGCGCCTTCGGTGCCGGTGCGTGTGTTGGATTGGGTTTCCTGGATCCACCTGTGAGTGGGATTGCTTGTGCCGCACAAATCGCCATGTGAATGTCGAACATGTCGAGCTGTAGTACCGCTCACATTGATGGCTCAACATCGCGCACGGGCGAGGCCCGCGGCGTGTGTTTTCTTGCACGATCACAACAATCGACAAGATAATAAGCCGTACGTATTCTCCCCCGCTCTTGCGCCCCCTCCCCCTCCCCCCCCTCTCCCCCCAAACACTCAACAACGCGACCGTTCACGCGCTCGCGCCACCCTCGCAGTTCGCTATTAGCTTCCCAAAATTGTCGCCGAAAGTGCGCTCGGACTGCAGCGCCGCCTCTGCGGCGGCTCGGATCCGCTGCGCCCACTCCTCGTGCCAGAGGCGGTAGTGCGCGTAGGCGTGGTCGCGCGCGGCGACCGCGGCCCGCTGCGGCCTGGCCAAGCAACCCTTGAGCGGCGGCGAGCTGGCAGTGGTGTCGGCCTCCCGCGCGGCGTCCGCCGCCACCTCTCCCGCGTCACCGCCGCCCTCCGCGGCCTGCGCCTCGAGCAGCTCCGAGAGCGGCAGCCCCGCCCAAACGTGCTCCTTGAAGGGGCGGCCGGCAGCAGGCGGGTCGGTGCACGCGAGCGCCGCCGCCTGCCGCGCCTCGTGCCGCAGCTGCTTGAAGATGCCTGGCGCGGGGGCGTCGCGCTGCTGCGACGGCGATGCGGCGGCGTCGTCGTCGGCGGCGGCGGCGAGGTCCTCGGCATGTTTACGTGATTTAAAGCGTGACTAAAGGCAGGGAGTGAGAACTGAGATTGTGCGAGGCCGAGACACCGAGTGGCACAAGACTCAAGAGCCAACAAGAGCCTGCTTTACATTGCTCGCACGCGTGTTTGAGCGACGACCCCTGCGGATTTGCGAGCCTTCTCTCAATATCGCTTTCGAGACTATGGTCGTGCGCGTCTCGGTCGGAGAGGCGAGTTCTGCCCGTGCAAATTCTTTTCGTGTTAAGTACCATGACCAACTGTTCTGTAGCGCGAATCCGTTAGGATTCTCGCCAGCTCTGCTGAGGGGTGGCGCCGGGCTACGTACCGATCGCTCGACCTCGCAACCCCATATACACCCAGTCTACATCTACTCAAGATGCAAGTACAGGGAAGCAACATAAGGAGGCAAGAGGACGCGTTTGAGATCAAACTCACCTCCACCAATTTGGATTCTTTTAGGTATGTTGTTGGCAAACCAAGACAATTTGGATTGATTCCACGCGCGCCTCCCGGACAGGGGTTGACCCGGAGTCCTGTGGAGGGCGGTGTGAATTACTCATGACACAATGAATACGGCTCATGGATCGATTGCCAAAATGGATGGATTGCTTCCCTCTTCGTGCGTCCGCACATACAAGCGAACGCCAATGGCCTCGCTCGCCTATCAGGCAGCCGGCCTCCGCATCTACTCAGTCGCCCCGCCCGCCCACGCCGGCGACTGAATTTACATTCGATTGTTCCATCGATTGATGAGTCTTGTCCAAGCTAGACGACTAGTCTTGTCCCGCCCCGGGTGTGTCGTGTGCCATCCGGTGTTCCCCGTGGTGTTCCAGTGTGGTGGGGAGGCTCAGCGCCCACCACCGGGGATAGGTTTCGTCAGTATCGGCGTCGCATCGGCGGCGCCGATACAGACAGGGACCGTGGGTGGGAGTAGGCAGGCTAGCGCTTGTGGGCAAGAAGAGCGCATTACTCAATACAACTACACGTGCACGGCCACCTCGTGCAAGTCTTATGGTTCGAGCAGGTGCGAAGACTGGAGGGGCCCTTTGCAGGTCCCATCCATTACCGTGCCCCATGTTCACGTGCGGCCGTTTTACCAGGCGCCCAACCGACGGCCGCGCCGCGAATTTTTTTTGCCTGCCCCGTCTTCGCCGTCGCGCGACGATCACGCCGGTGTCAAAACTTCCGATTTTGTTTTTTTTCTTCTCTTTTATACCTGGTAAAAGCAACGTTCGAAATCCAAAATTCTACGAAATCCAAGAACGCCGGATCGGTGCATACTTACTTACAGCTGTCGGTACAGAGATGCCAGCACCCCCCAGCAGCAGAGCGCTCCTGCTGGGGGGGGGGGGGGGGCGACCCCCCCAGCAGCAGAGCGCTGCTGCTGGGGGGGGGGGTCGGCCATGACTTTAGATGTGCAGGGGGGGTACCGAGCAGTGTGCGGCCGCTCCGAGGGTGAACTGCTGACGGGGTTTGCGATGAGGAGCGACGAAGGTTTTGGCTTAGGGGACCCCTAGGGTTCTGAGGGCCGGATTTTTTTAAGACCTTGAGCACTTGAGCACTGGATAGGGTCGATTCCGCATGGTACGGGACCCCTCGATCGTCTCGCCCTCCCTCACTGGTGTGTTCATCGGGGGGGGTCATAACAAACACGGTACAGGATCGAGGTGCACGCTGCCGAAGCAGTGTCGTCCCCCCTCTCCCCGACGGCGATGGCGGTGTGACCGATCGAGCTACAAGAGGAGCTCGTTCAGCAGGATCCGGGTTGGTCTGGCGCACTACCTCACTGGGCCTGAGATCGCACGACGCTTCCCGTCACCGTCTCGGGTTTGTGTGGGATCGAACCACTCCGGGATGGGCAAGCCCATCAATTTTCACTGTGTTTCTCCCCTGCACCTGCAGGGGATAGCGGGGGAGGGGTTGGCTATATCTGGGACGGAGGGGAAGAGGAGGAAAGGGAGGACGGGGGGGGGGGGGGGACTGAAGGGGGGAGGGGGGGGGGGGGGCCTAAACCATCTTTTTTTTAAAACCTTTTAAAAAACCAGGAGGTTTGGGGGCTTAACTTGCCATTTAAGAGATTGCAGGCACGGGGGGTCCCTCTTTTAAGACCGTTTAAGAAAATCGGCCTCGCCGGCATGCGTCGCTGGGTTCCGCCGCGCGCCGTTTTCTCCAATACTGCCGTTATTAGGCACAAACCCGCCTCTGAAGACACATCTGTATAAGTCTGGTGCACTGGCAGGAGCCATACTCGCATAGGGGACGCGTGCTAGTTGACTGTAGCCAGCTTCCCGGCCTCCGGCGTGTCTACCGGGAGCCTCCCAGACCATCGACCTCGGGAGCTCTCCCGCACCGTTTAAGCGTTTAAGACCGTTTAAGGAATCGGCGGCCCAGGCAGCCTTAAAATGGGCCATGGCCCGCTTTAAGCCGTTTAAGCCGCAGGCGCCCCAGGGCCCACCCTTTTAAGTCTAGGGGTCCCCTAAGGTTTTTGTATGTTGTTGTGGAGCGCGATTTCACAGTGATTACAAGATTTTTTTTGCGCAACGCGCGCGAGCTGCTGTCGTGCCAGTCCGGCGTATGAGCCCACTCACGCTTGTGAGCCTCGTCCTCGTCCTCCTGGCCCTCCTCTTTTGGCTGCGCAAACGTGCGGGCAAGCGCTCGCCAAAGAGCGCGCAGCATCAGCCCCTCGACCTCGAGGGCGGAGAGCGGGCCTTCAGCGAGGAGGCGTTCGATGACTTTGAGTTCGAGCCGTTTGACGATACGACGCGGCCGGCGACGCGGCGCGGCGGCGGCAGAGAGGAGGCGCAGGCGGTGGCGCAGGCGGCGGCGCAGGATGACCCACCGCCGATCGAGGAGGATCCCGACCCGTTCGCGGCCTTTGGCATCGGCGCGACCGTCGAGAAGCAGCGGGTGCACCTCATCGACGACTCGCCCTGGCAGGCCGCCGCGCCGACGAGCGCGAGTCTCTCCCTCGCTGCCGAGCCGATTGGCGAGGTGTCCGGCGGGTGGGGCGACGCGGACAGCGAGTTTGAGCCGGGCAAGCGGCGCATAACGGCGGAGGAGCGGCGGCGGGCGAGGATGGCGAGAGAGGGGTCGGGAGAGGGGGCGCCCGCGGGAGAGAAGAGGGGCCGGCTAAAGGTGACGCACCAAGAGCTGTGACATTTTGATATTGGGTCGTGTGCGCAGCCCAGCCAGGGGGGCGGTCTGATGTGAGAGAGAGAGAGATTCTCTCTGATGTGTGTATAGAGATTGAGAAGGAGGTGGGCGATATCTTTTGTGGCATTAATTTCTAATCATTGCCTTTTGTTAGAATCTCGCTCTTGCCACTTACGCATCCGGCATCCCTCGCCACGCCGAGGCCCTCGGCCCACAAAAAATGCGAGGTATCACGACTGAACTGATGACAAGTCACAAGAGCATCGCAAACGCCAAACCTGTCCTTCCTTCCCTGCCGGCTGGGGCGACCACACTATTTTTCATTCACTGGGACTGAAGCGATCTAACTTGAGTTGATGGGAAAAAAAATCGCGCGCGTGATAAGTCCTCCTGCGGCCGGGACAAAGGAAAGGACCCTCACCAACATGCTCCTCCTCGCGGCTTCCAGCGTGGCTCTTCCGACGGGCGCGGAGCCCCAGCGTCACAGCATCGAGTTCGGCCTCGACAGCTTCAAAGCGCTCGCTCACACGTGGCTCGACCTGATGCAGAGCGGAACCTCGAGCACGGTGTCAGCCGGGAGCAGCAGCGCCGCAGCCGAGCCACCACGCGCAAACGGCAACCAAAGACAACCTCTCGGGCTTGTCGTGAGCGGCGGCGGGTTCAGGACTATGACCGCCGGGATGGCCTTTGCACGCGCAATGTCCCAGTCCTTTGACGAGGTGGAGGGCAGCTCCTGGGCAGACGTCACGCATCTCGGCGGCAACTCCGGCGGGCAGTGGTTCGCGAGCCAGTTTGCGCTCTCGAGGCCATTCTTCGACGCCGTCACGCGCAAGGGCGCAGATGGCGAGTATCGGAGCCTCGAGGACTTCTTTGCGGAGTGGGGCCGTCAGTATGCCAAGGGTCTCTACTTTTCGCCTCCGCCCGAGGTGCACGTGTACAACAACTGCGCAGGCGAGGAAGGTGTCGGCGGGCTCATTTCAGACGCCCTCACTGAGGCTTTCAAGTCTCTCGGCTGGGCGCTCGAGACTGCCAACTTCCCGACCGACGACTGGGCCGTGTACGTCGAGGACATGATGCGCAACTCGATCCCCGGCTTCGAGCAGCTCCGATACAACGAAACGCGCTCCGCACTGCCCGACGCCGCGCTCATTCAGCAGCTCGCGCTCCCGCCCGACGCGTGGGTGGGGCACTCGAGGCAGACATCGCAGCGCGTGGCGCTGCGGCAGCCCGAGGACGGGAGGCCCGTCGGGGCGACCGTTCCCCTGGCGCACGTGGCCAAGGCAGCCTCCTCGCAGCGTGGCACTGACGGCTGGCTCGCGCCGGCGCTGGGCGGCAGCCCACTCCTCTCCAAGGCGCCCTACTCGTGCAGCTGTGAGTGGACGTACTGGAACGCGTGCCCCGGCCAGCCCAAGGGCGCCTCGTGGCTGAGCCCGGTCGCGTCGGACGACGGCTCGGCGTGCTTCGCGCACTGCTGCGGGCGAGGGCGCGACGCGTCCGCCGCGAGCGACGCCCCGGCGCGCACCATCGAGGTGAGCGCGCGCTTCGCCTCACCGGCGGGCACGAAGGTGCGCGATGTGACGGCCGCCTCCTCGGCAGCGGTCGGCGCTGCGGCCTCGCCCACCCTCGTCAAGCTCGCGTTGAAGCGCGCGCTGCACGGCGCGACAGAGACGCTCGAGATGTTGGCCAACGGCGGCAGTGGCGAGGCGCAGGCTGCTCTCGGCCTCAAGGCGTGGTTGAGCGGGGAGGCGGACGCCGCCCAGTTCGACTCGCAAGTGGACGAGTTTGTCGAGTCGTGCTTTCCGTTCGGCCTGCAGGAGCTCGGCGTCGGCATCCCGCTCGAGCCGGCGGAGGAGCTGCCGGAGGACGAGACGCGCGCGTGGTCCCCCACCTACCGCGCCATCGACGGCGTGTACGTCGACAACACGGCGCTCGCGATGACCATCGCCACGATGATTGCCGACTGCGAGGCTGGCGACGAGAGCCTCGCTTGCACCAACAAGGAGCTGGACGTCATCGTCGTCAACGACGGCGACTCGTCCAACCCCGGCTCCAACGGGCTCGGCGACTTCTTCTCCGAGGAGAAGGGCGGCGCCGCCCATCCAGTTGGCAAGTACAAGACCGCCGAGGACTTTCCCTACACCACGGTGCCGTCGGCGCACATCTTCGCCGAGGCTTACCCTAGCAACTGGGTCACCTACCACCAAACCGACATCGTCGACACGATTGCAGCCGTCGGCGACACCTCTGCCGTCGCCGTGATGGCTGCCGGCGCCGCCCCCGCCGCGGGCATCACCATGGGCGTCGGCACCACTGTGGGCGCCGCCGCCTCCGTGGCTTCCGCCCTCGCCTCCTCCGCCGCCGCCTCTGCCGCGTCCGCAATGGAGGGGACGAAGGCAGCCGGCGGCCGGCGTCGGCGCCTGGCCAGCAGCGAGGTGGGCGCATCCCGCTCCAACTTCACCAACTCCACCCTCACCACGATCAACAACCCGCAGTGGGGCGTCAAGGAGGGCTACACCGTGCGGCTGCTCGCCTTTTGCATCAACTACCCAAACAACCCGATGCAGATGCTGCAGAATGGCGGCGTCGGCATCGATGACGACCCGATGGTTCTGCCCGCCCTCACGGCCGCCACCTTCTTCAGCCATTTGTACGCGCCGATTGCCGAGAAGGAGAGTGAGCTCGCTGCAAAACACCTCAAGGCGTGGCTGGAGGCGCGGGCGCAGCGCAAGTCGTGAGCCTCACGTGATGTTCAACGCATGATCTAGCGGCTAAGACTTAGAAACGCTAAGGGATAAGGGAGTGCAGCGCCCCGCGTGGCTAGACACCGGCGAGTGCGAAAGCAACCAACGATGATGTTTAATGCATATAAGGTTTTTGTAGTAACAACAGCTCTGTACGAGAGCAGAGCCCCTGAGCAAACCTCCGTGCTCGGAGCGTGTACTGTGTACACGACTCAGTGTAAAAAGTACGTCACCCACTCACATGACATGTCGTACTTTTAGCTTACTGGGAGAAAAGGGAGAGGGGGCTGTCCGATGTGGCGGCAAACTTGATGTCCCTGCGAGAGCGCCTCAGCTTAGCGACCGCCGCCTTGTGCTTCCTTCGCTCCGCAAGAGTCAGGTCCGGCGAGACCCCACCGTTGCCCTCCCCCTCCTCTCCTGCAACGCCAGCTATGCTCGTGGCACAAATGATGGCCTGCGTCAGCGTCCCGACGAGCTCCTTCGCCTCATCTACCGTGGTGGCGACTAGCGCCGCGTCGAAGCCCTCGGACGGGGCCGGCCGGCTCAGCTCACTCGCAAACTTGTGCACGACAGCGGCCGCTCGCTCTCCGGCCGGCAGCGTCGGGTGGCGCCTCCGCACCATCACGCGCCCGAGGCACTCCTCCACCGGGAGGTCGAGGTGCACGCTGGCGACAACACAACCATGCTCGCGGCCGAGGGCGACCCACGGTTCCCGCTGAGCCGGGTCGGCGTTGCAGCGGTCGATGATGACGCTGCGCCCCGCCCGGAGCGCCTCTGTGGCGGCCTCGATGCACAGCCTGCGGGTGCCACACTCATCCTGGCTCACGTGTCGCAGGCGCCGCCCGACCGCCTCGCCCAGCTGCCCGCACAGGGTCGTCTTGCCAGAGCCAGGCAGTCCCACAAGAGTGAGGAGCAGAGGCTGGCCAGCCACGGCATGGAGCGCCGCACCCGCTGTCTCCTCGGGCGGGGGGAGGCGTCGAGCCGCCTCAATCGCCGCCTCCACCTCTCCAATTGGCGCATCGCGAACCCACTCCGCTCCGCCGGTAAGGGACAGTCGGCGCAAATCGGCCGCCACCTCGTCATACAGCGGCCGGAGGCGGGGGAAGTAGGAGAGGAACTCGTCGCCCTCGCGGCAGCGCGCAACCTCGAGCAGGCGCCGCCGCTGCAGTCGGGGATCGGCACCCCCTCCCGAAGCAACGCCCTCCTCGCCGGGCGGAAGGCGGTGCAGCGCCACGTAGCCGGGCGACTTGACTTTGATCCGGCGGAAGGCGGAGTCCACGCAGACAAAGCCCTCCTGCTCCACCGGATTGAGTGCGCACGCCGCTGCCTTGACGCTCGTCAGGTCATGCGGGCCGGGAAGCTTGCGCGGCGCCGCCCAGCCGAGCTGCGCAGCCGCCTCCTCGACGTCCTCCTCCACGAGCGTCGTCAGATCCCGCGCGCCGATGAGGGTGAGCGACGCTCTGGAGTGCCTCACCACGATCGTGTTTCCCGGAAGGCAGAGCTCAAAGGTGTAGCAGCGGCCGGTGGGCTCAGGCAGCCGGTAGCCCGACGCCGCAAACGTCTCCCAAAAGTGCGAGGCGAAGGTCCCGACGCCCACTCCCGGCACCTCGCCCGCTGCGTCGGGCACGCGCATCGACGAGACGTGCCAGCGGTCGCAGTGGTGGTAGAGGGTGGCGATCGAGCCGTCAAGCTTCTCGTACACGCGCGCCGTGCTCCAGTCAAAGGCCTTGCGGACGGCGGCCGCCGCCGGCTCGTCCGCGTTGAAGAACTTTGTGAAGGGCAGCGCGACCACCCTCCAGCTCCCCTTCTCGAGGATGAGCCCGCGACACTCCTGGACAACCTCGTTGGCGAGGTCTGACTCGCGCTGCGAGTACGAGAGCTGGACGAGCGGCAAGTGCGGGTGGAGGCGCGAGGTGAGCTTGTAGGCGCTGCAGAGGGACGTGAGGTTGGCGCCAGAGCGCAGCTGTCGGACGATGCGGAGCGTGGCACGCTCGTCGCGACGGCGCGAGGCCTTGGCCGAGGTGCTGCAGCTCGCTAGCGGCACGAGGGTCGGTGGGTCAGCGCCTGCTGCAGCGCCCACGGCGGCGACCGCCGCCTCTGACGTTTCCTGCCCCTGGAGCCAGGAGGCCCTCTGAGCAAACGAGTGCAGAGCAGCCACGAACTCGCCGCGCGGGTTGGCGCAGCGGCGCGCTTGCCGGACGGCGGCTAGTGCCTCGTCAACGCCAAGGCCGCGATACTTGATCAGGTACGCCATCACCATCGTCGTGGAGCGGCAGATTCCCGCCTTGCAGTGGCAGAGGACAGTTCCTCCCTTGGCCAAGTGCAGGGCGATGAAGTCAGCGGCTGGGTCGAGGTGTCGACCAGCCTTTGCGTGACTGTCGTCCTTCAGCCGCACGTCTAGGTAGGTGAACGTGTCCACGAAGTGGCAGCGGCATCCACACGCGATGATCGCAGTGACACCGGCGGCTTGCAGCTTCTCGCGGTTGGAGGCAAACGACTCGCCGGATAGGAGCAGCTTTGAGCTTTCCGTGTCGAGGATGACTGCGGCGCCGACCGGGCCGTGGCGCTGGGCCACAGGAGCGCGCGGGGCGCCGTAGGCCTTGTTGTTGCGCTTGGGCATGGCTAGCGGGTCGTGGACGCGTTCGGACGCGTCGTGAGGGGCGTAAAACCCCAAAAAGTTTTTTTGTGATCGGGGGCACGGGACGCGGCACAGAAGGGGCACAAACGTCAGGCTACAAACACGGGGAGGCACGTAGTGACGCAAGGGAGTCTAGGCGACGGTGGCGTCCTCCGACGCCGCGGCGAGCCTGCCTGTGACTGAGCTCGGTCGGTCGCAATCTCATTCGCCGCCGCGAGCTGCAGCGCGACTGACATGCGCTGGGCCTGCAGCGACAGCCACGTAGACCGCGTCGACCAGCTCGCCTCGTCCTCGTGCTGCCGCTTGGAGAGCTTGATGCTTGTTGCGCATCTTGTCCTTCATCATTCTGGTAGACGCAGCCGCTTGACCGCGTTGCACACCGGAAAAAGGTTTCTCGACCAGGTACGTCTGTACGTCGGTGTCCGAGCGCGAGAGGGCGGCGTGCGCGGGTGCGCGTAGTCCGCCTTCTTGTTCCGACGCTTTCGCCCAGTCCCGTGCCTGCGGAACATCTGAAGGCTGTCTCGCCGGAGGCTCGCCCCAGCATCTCGGGTTCACTCGCCCCCCCGGGCAAGAAGGGAGGACCCCGTGAGGCGTGGGAGTGATTGGGGCCGGCTTTGCTTTTTCTCTCCGTGAGGACGATGGCTTCTAAGGAAGCCGTCGTCTGCGCCTTGTCGTGTGAATCGTGCGTGTGCGAGAGCCTTTTGCATCTGTAAGAAAAAAGAAGATGCTGACGGAAAGTGTGGTCTGAGCGCCTTGTAGGTGGCATGAAGGTTGCAGCGAGAATCGGCGAGGGACTGCGAAGGGAGATAGAAAGAGGCAGACGACAAAGGGTTAGGGTGGGCGACGGCTAGCACCACACTCCTCTCCTTAAAATCATCGTGTTTTCTTCTTTGAGCGCCTTGTACTCGAGTAAAAGTTCTGCCACCCCTCGCCGCTGAAGACAGTGCTCTCGCGATGCCCAACATGGACGTCTCGCTGGACGAGCTCATCGCTTCGAACGCCAAGCAGGCGTCGAAGAAGCCGGGCCGCGGCGGTGGCGGGCGCGGGCGCGGCGGCGGGCGCGGCGGGCGCGGCATCACAAAGCCCGGCAAGAGGGCGGTTGTGGTCAAGAAAAAGGCCGGTGGTGGTGGTGGCGGCGGCCGGAAGCGGCAGGGCGCCGAGGTAAAGATCGGAGCTATGACGGATATCAAGCTCGCGGCGGGCGCCGTCGCCAACATGATGCGCGAAGGGACGCCGCCGAAAGTACTCGCCATCAGCCCGACGTGCGTCAACGCGGCCGTCAAGACGCTCGCGCTCGCCCGCCGCTACCTCGAGGAGGAGGGACTCGAGCTGATGGCGACGGTCGACTTTCCTGAGTTTGACGAGTCGGCCAACTCGGTCTCTCTCTCTCTCTCTCAAAAGCCCTCCTAATCCTTGTCTTCCTGCAAACCCTCACGGGCTCGGTCGTCTCCTCTCCAGGCGAACGTCGCGCTGCACCTCTCTCAGAAGCGGAAGCGGACGGACCTGTCGACGGTCGCGGCGCAGCTGCAAGTCTCCTCCTCCTCCGAGCCGTCCAAGGTAGCGGGCGCCGTGGCAGGCACGGCCCGCGAGTGCGCAGACCAGCCCGTCAAGCGGCTGTGCGTCTCGTGCGCCGGGCCGGCGGCGATGCTCGTCTCGCTCCAGGCGGTCTACCTCGCCCGCCGCTACCTCGAGGAGGACGGGCTCGACCTCTCCGTCGTGCCAGAGTTCGAGAATGTCGAGCGCGGGCCGTCGATCGTCCATCTCTTCACGCTCGTGCACAAGCCGAACGCGGCGCTCTGAGAGCTGCGCCGCGAAGTCGTTGATGGTAGGAGGGGAAGAGAGGGCTGAGAGGCTGCTGTGTTCGGCCAACCCACACTCCCTAACTTATTTGTACGTACGTGTGAGTGTGTGCATGGATGTCCGTGTGAGTATGTACAACTCTTTCGGTGAACAGCTGCCAGCTGTGTGTGGCACTTGGTGGAGTGCAGTTATCAACTCCGCACACCCCGCTGCGACGATTCTTTTTTCTCCTTTTTCGCGGTGTGTACGCCCCCCAGCGGTGCCGGCCGTTTCGCAATTTGCAGCGGCACAAATCTTGAACAGAGTGGGCCCCCTGGCGATTCTCGGTTGGCTTGTCGATTCTGTCTCGTCAGCGGGCGCCGAAGTGCAAGTGGCGGTTGCAAGGTTGCAACAACGGGAAACGCCTAAAACACATCATGGAGGAGATCGACGATGAGGACGCCCCGTCCGCGCTCCAAGAGATGGAGGCGACGATCGAAGCGATTCAGGACCTGCGCATGCAGTTTGCCCGGCAGTCTCGGCTCCTCGGAGAGCGAAGCCACGCGGCGACTGCAGAGGCTGAGAGCCTGCAGTCGCAAATGACCTCTGCGGTGCATGCGATTTTGGGAGAGCTGTCGGCAGGAGACCCGGGCGACTGCGGCGGTGGGTTGCAGCGAGAGGCGAGCAACGAGCCACACGTCACGCGGGCGGGCGCGGCGACGACCACTCGACCCAAGCGGCGGCCTCGGCCGGCTGCAGATGGCAGCACCAATCTCGACGCGGTGTCGCTCGCGGTCTCCAGCGTTCGCGGCCTGGCTAGCAGGCCGCTCCTTCCCCCGTGCGCAGGAAGATGATATGCACAGTCGGTTGAAATAACCGCAAATGAATTGAGACCACAGTCATTAGACAATTATTCGGCGGAGTGCTACAGAGTCAGAGAGGCGAGTCTGATGCAGGAGACAGGGAGAGAGTGTGTCACACAGTGGGTGCAATCATCCAGCTCTCTAGTACTCAACAAGCTGTGTGGCGTCTGGGCCGGCGTGGCCCATCGACAGCCCTGCGTTCCACGCAAAGCCTGCGCTGAAGCTCAGCAGCATGACTAGCGCCAACAGCGCCACCACCGCAGCCACCGCAGCCACCGCAGCCATCGCAGCCACCGCGACGCCCAGCGCGATGTGCGACGACTTGGCGTCGGCGATCGCGCCGGCTGCAGCCTGCGCGTGCCCCCACACCACACCCGGCAGCGCCTCGCCGATAAAGGCGGGCAGATTGGCGAAGACGCGGTCGACGGCTCGGTCGACGATTGCCGTTTCGAAGTGGAGCCCGTCGAGGACCTGCGGCACCACGCGGTCGACGATCCGGTCGACGTTGACACGGTCGACGATGCCGTCGACGTTGATCTGCTCGACAATCCGATCGACGTTCACCTGCTCGACCACCCGCTCCGCGAGGTACGCCGGGTTGACCGCCATGACGGCCCGGTCGACGATGTGGTCAGCGCCTTGGGCCGCGAGGCGGGTGGGGAGCCACGGCTGCTGCGGCGGCTCGCTGTCGGCGCGGCTGCGACGCGTGCTGCCCTGCGCGACCGCCCTGGTCCGCCTCCGCGGCATGATGGCGCCTTTGCATGATGGCGGCGCCGCCACGGAAGCGCCAGCAGAGGCTTCCCGCCGCGAGGCTTCCTCCTTCGAGGGTGGCAGGCATTTGAGGAAGTAGCTCTGCCAGCCGATCTGGGCGCGCGGGACGACGCTCGCCCTGGTCGAAGTTCCACCGCTGCGCCTGGTCAGGGCGACGCGCCACTTCTGCGCCTCCTCGGCAGAGCCGGCCATAAGGACGAGGCTTCGCTGACCCTTGCTCAGCCGGATGCAGTTGTCCTCGATGGCGGTGATTGCCGTGTCCTTCGTGACGGTGAAGGAGCCGCTCGCCGCGACCGCCTTCTCCTCCTCTCCGCCTTGCGGCTTGTACCACTCGAGCTTGTCACCACGCAGCGAGAAGTAGCGCCGCCGCCAAGGAGAGAAGGCGTTGTCGGAGTGCTTGCGCAGCCACCCCTCGGTGGTCGTGCGTGCCATTCTGTGCAGCCGGCCAATGAAGAGGAATGCGTAGGCCGCGGGGGTCGCGCTGCGGCTGTCGGCTGCTGAGGCCATGGCTGTAGAAGAGCGGTGTGGCGAGAGGACGAGGAGTCGGCCAGGAGAAGCGGGAAGGAAGCTTGAGGGACACGCAAAAGAATTTTACAACTCAAAAAGAATCGAAAGCGGAACGGGAGGCGCCTGAATCAAAAGACACGGCGACATCCTTGAGACGCGCGAGGGCAGCCTCCTTAAAAGGCAATGGGGTCTAGATTTGGAGCGCTCGCCGAAGAGGAGTACGACAAAATCGCGCCCGTGGTTGCCTGCACGCTGCCAGCACTGACAGACTCCCTGCCCGAAAGGAAGAGAGAGGAGCTCGCCGGAGAGGTGACGAGTGAACTACAGGTAGTGGGGAAGGCAGCTTCGATTGCCATACAGACATGGGCGCGAAACAACGACAAGACCAAGGCACGGGCAGAGGAGCGAGAGAAGAACATAGCTCATAGGATGGATAGGGCGCCTGTTCACGGCATGGAGGGTGAGCCACGATGAACGTAATGAACGTAGAGCCGAACGAGAGGAAGCCGGGGAAGACGACTCCGAGGAGGACGAAACACCAGTGGTAATCCCGCCGTCAGCTGTCACGATATACCCGAAGGGAACCCCAGTGCCAGCACCGACCGTTGAGGTACAAGTGCTCGAAACGAGAGTGGACCTGAGCAACGACATGACTTGGCGGCAAATGATCGGAGTGGGAGTCAGAAATGTGGTCCTTGCGCGAGGAGAGCTCGATAAACTCGAGGGGCCAAAATCTGCCGCGAGGAGGGCGGAGTTACGCAGAGAGGCGAGAGAAGCAGCGAGAGCAAGGGATCGGCAGACGGCAGCGGCGTTTCAAAACGAGGACGAACTGCGTGCGTTGTAGAGCGATGTAGAGGCGCTCTACAACGTGAAATCTCTACAACAAACTCTACATCAAAAGCGGCGAACGAGGCACGGTCGCTCTCCGACATGAGGCGCGTTGCACTTGCTAAGTGCTGCCCTGGCCTTCTCTCTGCCCGCCCAATGGGTGGCAGGTGCCTCTGCTGCGACTGGCCGGCCTCGGCGCGTCAGCTCGGCTCGGCGTAGCGATAGTGGCCAGCGCAACTCGCCTGGACTCAACGATAGTGGCCAGCGCAACTCGCCTGGACTCAACGCTCAGCCAGGAGCTCCCGCACGCGCTGGCGCGAGTCATGGCGCATGCAACGCGCAGCAATGCTCGCCTCGCCTCGCGCAAATGCGACCGTCCTCGCAGCCGACAGTCCACCGCCTGCTTAAGAAGCACACCCTGAGTCTGAGAGCTGGTCTGGGGCAAAATCTGAGGCGAAACCGAGAAAACCGGCAACTTACCGGGTATTTTCCAGGTATACCCGGGTTTTCCAGGTATACCCGCAAAATACCCCGGTATTTTGCCGATTTTGCTGTTTTTCAGTGTATGTAGCTCTTACGTACATTCCCGTAGGAGGACTCTGCTGACATTTTTGGGCCCAAACCAGCTTATTTCCACGGAGTTTCCTCGGGAAACTAGAGAGGAAACGAGAGGGTGCTGTAGAGAAACACGGAAAAGGAACGAGACGGGTGAGCGAGGAAACATGCATGCAGCCTAATCATGGAGGCAACCGATGCGAGTCGACTGGTGTGTGTCGTCGTGGTTTCGTATCAAGAATACTCACTCACTCACATCAGCTACTACGGTGCAAGGGAGAGAGATTTTTAGCAATTGTTTGTTTGCATGTGTGCCAGCCAAGTGTATCGTGTGACGTGTGTTGCCCCGCCGCCGCAGAGTGCACATAACTCTCTCTCCCGCGGAGGCGCAGCTGAGCGGTGCCTCGGCTGGACACAGGGGAAAGGCAGCGAGCGAGCGGGGGCGCATCTGGGGCGGGTCGCGCCAGTCCCGTGCCCAGTGCCCTAATCTTTTCCTCGCACGGTGTACCTGTGTTAGGTGCCACCGGGCGCGCCAGTGCGGCGCCCGAATTCTTCTTAATAAATAGAGCAGTCATCTCCAGGGAGAGATGGGCGACGCACACAAAGCTCAAAGGAAATTTACTCCACCTCTGTTGCGGACGTCGACGGGGACGGGTTGATGGACATCGTGATCAGCAACGACGGCGCAGAGAATCAGCTCCTGTTTGGTTGCGTGCGAAATTTTTTTTTCTCAAACCGCGCCAGACCGGCGGCGCCGAAGTGGAACGGCGCCTCGCACGGCGGACACCAGCAATATTAATAATTGACTTGAGCCGCCATGGTAGGACGCCGCCCTGAATGATGACGGCAAAGCAGCCCGAATCATAGGCCATTGCTCCCTCAGTGTAAACGACTGTGAATACCGAACTCCCCCATTCACACCTAGTCACCGTGGCCCAACTGGGGTCAAGCCTGCACCCAACGGCCTCGCGACGACAGATATACATGGCCACACGCCTCCTCAACGTCGCCCTCGCTGCCTCCGCTACTGCGGCCGCCATGGGTGCCGCCTACGCGACGCGCGGCCCGCTCGCCGCCGCCTCTGTCGCCGGCTGGTTTGCGCTACACGTAACAATCGCCAAGATGTACGAGAGCGCCTGCGGCTCTCGCACGATCGCGGACTACCCTGGCTGGTCGTGGCTCGCCTCGCTCTGGCACGGCCTGCTGGCGATGCCAATCCTCGTGTCTGCGACCGTGCTCCTCCTCCCAACCACCACGGCTGGCGTGGACGGCTTCCTGCGCGAGGGGTGGGAGCGGATGCCGTGGCCGCTCGAGCACGTCCACTACGCAATCTTCGGGTACATGCTCAAGGACTTTGTCCTCTACCCCGCCGGCATCGAGCTCGGCTACCTCGTCCACCACCTCATCACCATCGCCGGCTGCACTCTCTGCCTCCACCTCCCCGCCGGCGCAGCGCTCACCACTCTCAACGGCGCGCAGGTTTGCCGCTCGGCCCTGCGCCGGCGCTGCCCACACACCGCCGGGGTGACACGCTCGCCGCTGGCGCCCGTTTCCGCTCCTGGCTCAACGCTGCCGCCCTCCCGGCCGCCAGGCGGAGGTGAGCTCGAGCCTCTTCAGCGTGCGCCATGTCTGGCCCTCGCCGCCCACCCGGCTACTCTACTACCTCTCGATGAGCGCCTCGAACGCCCTGGGTGCACTCCTCGCCCTCCGCCTCGCCGACATCGATACGCTCCCGCGCAGCCTCACCACCGCCTACGCCGTCGCCGCCGCCTCGCTCATCCTCTTGCGCCAGGCGCGCCGCCACGGGCCGAGATCGGGCCGAGATCGGGCCGAGATCGGGCCGAGACGCCCAGTCGAGATTGCACGAGATGTGGCCGAGAGGTGGCCGAGATGCCGGGATGTGACCCGGCGCGAGGGCGACAGTCCATCCCCTCCTCCGGCGCGCAGGGCGCTCTGCTGCTCGACCTTGCAGATTGGGTCGGCGGCAAGGCAGGCGGCAAGGGACGGGGCAAGGGAGGCGCCGAGGGAGGCGAGGGGCAGCCGCTGCTTGGCGTCGATCGAAGCCCCCTCTCCCCGCCGGTCAAGGGCCGCAGCCCGGCCGGCGGCAGCCCCGCCGCCTCCCGGCCGGAGCGGGCGCGGGCGAGCCCGGCAAAGAGCCGGGCGGGGGCGGGGGCGGGGGTGGGGGCGGGGGCGGGGGGGCGCTCCGCCTCCTCGCCGCGGGCGAGGGCCTCGCCCGCTCGGCCAGGCTCGACGCCGCAGCCCTTCCCGCCCGGCCTCGGGTACACTCCCAAGAGCAAGGCGCTGCACGCGTCGAGGCGGGCCGCCGCTGGACAGCGGGGCGAGACGGGCCTCGACGGCGCCGCCTGGCGCGTCGCGTCGCCGCGCAGGAGGTCGGCTGTGCCCGCGCGCTTCGACGAGTGAAGAGGGCCTCGGGCGGCGCGGATGCGCGCAGCGCGACGCCGGCGCTGTCGACGAAGCACTAGCTCTAGCAGCCCCGGCGCGGAAGACTAGGAGCCCCCTGCCAGGTGCGGCTGGAACCCTGGATCGCATGGTGTCCTTAATTTGTCAGTTTTGGCCGAGGTCGACTCGCCACAGTCTCATCACCTTAGTAAGTATTAACACCTTCTCAATCTCGAATCTGGGTACTGGGAGACGACCGCCCTCCGGCTCCGCCGACCGGGGCCACGACGAGCGCGCAGGCGCCGCGCGTGTGAAAGTAGAAAGACGGGTTTTTAATTCACACGCGGCCGATATTTTCTTGAGACGTGTCTATTGAAGCGTATACGTCTATCATGCGATAATGCGTCGAACTCGATACCATACGTAGTACACGTGTTGTGTGGCTCTTGTGCAGCACACATAAGACATGGACAGAGCTCAGAGGACTCAAGCTGGCCCCGCTCTCTCTCTCTCGCTCTCTCATCGCATACCGCCTCAAGCCAACATCACACGCGAGACGCGCTACCGAACGACCACAACAGCGGGCCGTTTCGGCGCAACGTAGGCTTTTGGTCAGCATTTAGCTGCTCTTGGATTTCCCGGAAGACGGCGTCAAGAAGAAGCTCCCCCAGAAGCACTACGGAATAAAGCCTGCGTGGTTCGCGTCCACGGCCAAGGCAAAGACCGACACGAGGCCATACACCAACGCGGTGCTGCGCCTGGACTCAACCGGTTGCGTGAGCATGTACGCCGCGCCGATCGCCGTGGCCAGCAACGTATTCCCCTCGATCCGATTCGAGGTGGTGGCCCATGCGACCAAATTCGCCCCGTCCTTACCAGCACCTGCCAGTGCGCTCAACCATTTCACACAGTCCTCGTAGCTGATGCGCCGCCGAAGACGTCGTCGTTGCGCAATCCGCACGGGCTGAGGTGGGAACCGTACTTGAGCACGATGAAAGATCCTAGGGCAAGCGAGTAGAAGCCGAAGCCCACGTTGGACAAGATCGCGGACACTCGCATCGTTGTTTGATGATGGATTCCTCTCGATGTGAAGATCCCCCCATTCAGATCCCCCCATTCGGTGGCGCGAACAGCTTCAGCTTTTCTCGCCCGCTCTGCTGAGGGCGAGGCGCCGAGCTTCGGTTCCAACGCTGCAGCACTCTCCCTCTATTCACAGCAGAGAGGCGACGCGTCCTCACGCGCGTCCTCGTCCCCACCTGCTCTGCTTCAACGTGCTGCCATGGAGCCAGCGCGCCTCGCGCCATGATTCAATCGCCATGGCCGGAGCGCTGTGGACCGCAACGGTCCGTGGCCGCTGTGCGGCGGCACGCGCAGGCGCTGCACAGATCAGAGCATTGGCGCCGAGCATTCAGTTTCCGCATTCAGTTGTCGTTGTTCTGTCGGCTCGAACAGCCCGTACAGCCATTCAGCGGCTGGTGGATAGCGCACAGTCTCCACGGCGGATCCGTGAATCTCGTGCACACCGGCTGGAGGCGCAAAGCGCCGCCGCCGTATGGACCAGCCCGATGGACCGTGTTTGTGGTCGGGATGGACAGTCTTGGTGTGGCCGTCCAGCGTATCACTGCAGAATGAAGCAGCGACACGCAATACACAGACGAAGCTGGAACTGCCGGGTCCAGCGGCCGATCTGCGTCGGGCGATCGCTGGGAATTGACCGAGCTTGCTGCTTCCGGAATGGCATCACGGATTTGCCTTCGTGGGTATGAGCATAGCAGCAAGCGGTCGCGCGATGGGACGCGCGACGCACAGCAAATACAGCAGCGAGAGCGTCTAGTGTTGACGCAGGTAACGGGCGAGGTCCTGGGTGCAGAACCCGCCCTGACTCTGCCGATCCACCGGATTGCGACTCGACTGCTGATACCAGTCAACTGCTGAACGTGTGCTGGCGGGCAGCTTGAACTGCTGTCGCCCCGCCAGAGTATATCTCGACTAGCTCTACATCGAGAAGAAAGTCGTCTCGGGCGCCGCGTCGTCGGCGGCGGGGCGGGCGGGCAGCTGGATCTGCTGTCGCCTCGCCGGAGTGTATCTCGACTAGCTCTCCATCGAGAAGAGCGTCGACTCGTGCGCCGCCTCGTCGGCGGCGTGGCAGGCGGGCAGCTGGATCTGCTGTCGCCTAGCCAGAGTATATCTCGACTCGCTCTTCATCGAGAAGAGCGTCGTCTCGTGCGCCGCCTCGTCGGCGGCGTGGCGGGCGGGCGGCTAGATGTGCCGTCGCCTCGCCAGAGTATATCTCGACTCGCTCTACATCGGCTAGAGTGTCGTCTCGTGCGCCGCCTCGTCGGCGGCGTGGCGAGCGAGCAGCTGGATCTGCTGTCGCCTCGCCAGAGTATATCTCGACTCGCTCTCCATCGAGAAGAGCGTCGACTCGTGCGCCGTCTCGTCGGCGGCGTGGCGGGCGGGCGGCTGGATCTGCTGTCGCCTCGCCAGAGTGTATCTCGACTCGCTCTACATCGGCTAGAGCGTCGTCTCGTGCGCCGTCTCGTCGGCGGCGTGGCGGGCGAGCGGCTGGATCTGCTGTCGCCTCGCCGGAGCATATCTCGACTAGCTCTTCATCGAGAAGAGCGTCGTCTCGGGCGCCGTCTCGTCGGCGGCGTGGCTGGCGAGCAGCTGGATCTGCTATCGCCTCGCCAGAGCATATCTCGACTCGCTCTACATCGGCTAGAGCGTCGTCTCGTGCGCCGCCTCGTCGGAGGCGTGGCGGGCGGGCAGCTGGATGTGCTGTCGCCTCGCCAGAGCATATCTCGACTCGCTCTGCATCGGCTAGAGCGTCGTCTCGTGCGCCGCCTCGTCGGCGGCGTGGCGGGCGGGCAGCTGGATGTGCTGTCGCCTCGCCAGAGCATATCTCGACTAGCTCTCCATCGAGAAGAGCGTCGTCTCGTGCGTCGTCGTGCGCCGTCTCGTCGGCGGCGTGGCGGGCGGGCGGCTGGATCTGCTGTCGCCTCGCCGGAGTATATCTCGACTAGCTCTCCATCGAGAAGAGCGTCGACTCTTGCGGCGCGCTGGCATCGCCGCCGCCGCCTACTCTCCTTAACCTCGGGGCGAGATCGAGATCTCGGTGATCTCGGGCGGTCTCGAGCGAGATGTTGGACATGGGCTCGACGTGGTCCGCGTGAACTGATGTCGATCATCACGCCGTCGAGACTTTAGCAAGGCGTGTGGCGCGCCGGCAGAGCCGCCGCCGCCTAAGGTACTGTCAGGGTCCCTACGGGGAGCGACGGTTCGAAGGGTACTGTCTCGAGGTACTGTCAGGGTCCCTTCGGGGAGCGACGGTGCCTCGAGACGGTGCCGTACTGTCAGGGTCCCTACGGGGAGCGACGGTTCGAAGGGTACTGTCTCGAGGTACTGTCAGGGTCCCTTCGGGGAGCGACGGTGCCTCGAGACGGTGCCGTACTGTCAGGGTCCCTACGGGGAGCGACGGTTCGAAGGGTACTGTCTCGAGGTACTGTCAGGGTCCCTTCGGGGAGCGACGGTGCCTCGAGACGGTGCCGTACTGTCAGGGTCCCTACGGGGAGCGACGGTTCGAAGGGTACTGTCTCGAGGTACTGTCAGGGTCCCTTCGGGGAGCGACGGTGCCTCGAGACGGTGCCGTACTGTCAGGGTCCCTACGGGGAGCGACGGTTCGAAGGGTACTGTCTCGAGGTACTGTCAGGGTCTCTTCGGGGAGCGACGGTGCCTCGAGACGGTGCCGTACTGTCAGGGTCCCTACGGGGAGCGACGGTTCGAAGGGTACTGTCTCGAGGTACTGTCAGGGTCTCTTCGGGGAGCGACGGTGCCTCGAGACGGTGCCGTACTGTCAGGGTCCCTACGGGGAGCGACGGTTCGAAGGGTACTGTCTCGAGGTACTGTCAGGGTCCCTTCGGGGAGCGACGGTGCCGTACTGTCAGGGTCCCTGTGCCCCGTCTCGTCGGCGGCGTGGCGGGCGGGCGGCTGGATCTGCTGTCGCCTCGCCAGAGCATATCTCGACTAGCTCTCCATCGAGAAGAGCGTCGTCTCGTGCGCCGCCTCGTCGGCGGCGTGGCGGGCGGGCGGCTAGATCTGCCGTCGCCTCGCCAGAGCATATCTCGACTCGCTCTACATCGGCTAGAGCGTCGTCTCGGGCGCCGTCTGGTCGGCGGCGTTGCGGGCGGGCGGCTGGATGCGCCGTCGCCTCGCCAGAGTATATCTCGACTAGCTCTCCATCGAGAAGAGCGTCGTCTCGTGCGCCGTCTCGTCGGCGGCGTGGCGGGCGAGCAGCTGGATCTGCTATCGCCTCGCCAGAGCATATCTCGACTCGCTCTACATCGGCTAGAGCGTCGTCTCGTGCGCCGCCTCGTCGGCGGCGTGGCGGGCGGGCAGCTGGATGTGCTGTCGCCTCGCCGGAGTGTATCTCGACTAGCTCTTCATCGGCTAGAGCGTCGTCTCGGGCGCCGCCTCGTCGGCGGCGTGGCGGGCGGGCGGCTGGATCCGCTGTCGCCTCGCCGGAGTATATCTCGACTAGCTCTACATCGGCTAGAGCGTCGTCTCGTGCGCCGCCTCGTCGGCGGCGTGGCTGGCGAGCAGCTGGATCTGCTGTCGCCTCGCCGGAGTGTATCTCGACTAGCTCTTCATCGAGAAGAGCGTCGTCTCGGGCGCCGTCTCGTCGGCGGCGTGGCGGGCGGGCGGCTGGATGTGCTGTCGCCTCGCCAGAGTATATCTCGACTAGCTCTACATCGAGAAGAGCGTCGTCTTGTGCGCCGTCTCGTCGGCGGCGTGGCGGGCGGGCGGCTGGATCTGCTGTCGCCTCGCCAGAGTATATCTCGACTAGCTCTTCATCGAGAAGAGCGTCGTCTCGGGCGCCGTCTCGTCGGCGGCGTGGCGGGCGGGCAGCTGGATCTGCTGTCGCCTCGCCAGAGTATATCTCGACTAGCTCTCCATCGAGAAGAGCGTCGACTCGTCCGCCGTCTCGACGGACGGAACTCGGAGGGCGTTGTCCACCCTAAGATGGACGGAACTCGGAGGGCGTTGTCCACCCTAAGATGGACGGAACTCGGATGCGTTGCCTCGCGACTGAGTCGGCGCGCGTCGTATTCCAGCCAGAAGGGTGCTGTCGCTCCGGGTCGGGCGGCACTGCTCGCCGCGTCCGGGTGCTGCGCGCCTGCGCCTCCCGATGAGGTCGGACGGCGTGGTATTATGGCCGCCGCGCCTTGGTTGCACCGGAGCACTCATGTGCACAAGCCTCGCGAGAGCGGCTCGCGCAGGCGCAGCGACGGCCGGGGAGGCCTCGCACCAGATGCACTGTCGGCGTCGTTCTACGCGGGCCGCTCGTGGACTGATTGACTACGGTTCTCGCGTGGGGGCGCTGTGCTGTGCCGTACCGGGCTCGACCACGTCGTCAAGCCGTCGAAGTCCGAGACGTGGGGAGGCACAACGCCCAACCACGCCAGGGCCCCGTCGAGATCGTCGTCGCCGCGACATCGAGACCTCCGGTGATCTCGGGTGATCTCGGGTGATCTCCGGTGATCTTCGGCGGTCGGGCGGCGTCGATCTCCGAGAGGGAGTCGAGTCTAGCGTTCCTCAAGATGACGCACTACTCAACTCAACCCTACGCCCGCATCGATGTGGGAGGCAAGGCCACCCGTCGATGCGACCTGCTACCAAGCGGTGGGGCAGGAGATTGGAGGGGCCCCTTGCAGAGGTGGCGCGAACAGCTTCAGCTTTTCTCGCCCGCTCTGCTGAGGGCGAGGCGCCGAGCTTCGGTTCCAACGCTGCAGCACTCTCCCTCTATTCACAGCAGAGAGGCGACGCGTCCTCACGCGCGTCCTCGTCCCCACCTGCTCTGCTTCAACGTGCTGCCATGGAGCCAGCGCGCCTCGCGCCATGATTCAATCGCCCCCACCCGCCCTCTTCCTGGCGATATTCATGGCTCAGAGCTGATTGAGCTCTCTTTATTCATGGGTCTCAGTGGAGAGACGACTTGAGGAGACGACTAGTCTCACTCCCCCGCTTTCGTCACGCAGCGTGTTCTGTTCATGTGTGTCGTGATGTGTCTGTCGGCCCTGGCATGTTGTCTGTCCCAGGGCGTGGGGAGGCACAACGCCCAACCACGCCAGGGCCCCGTCGAGATCGTCGTCGCCGCGACATCGAGACCTCCGGTGATCTCGGGTGATCTCGGGTGATCTCCGGTGATCTCCGGCGGTCGGGCGGCGTCGATCTCCGAGAGGGAGTCGAGTCTAGCGTTCCTCAAGATGACGCACTACTCAACTCAACCCTACGCCCGCATCGATGTGGGAGGCAAGGCCACCCGTCGATGCGACCTGCTACCAAGCGGTGGGGCAGGAGATTGGAGGGGCCCCTTGCAGAGCAGGGCAGGGCCCTGGCTAGTGCCATTTCACTGTGGCACAGCTCGCGTTACAAAACCTTGATTTGACCATTTGCGCCATTTTGTCCCTCTCGGTGCCTTCCAGAGGCAGCTGCGACCCCGCCAAGTGGACGGGGGCACTCGGCAGGTGGCGCGGAGT